TTATGAAAGTCTTGGAGCACAGAGAACGTGGACACTCTCTGAGCAGTGGTGTCATTGATGTCGGCGGCAGGTTCAAAATCACCCAAATGCAATGGTGTTTGGCTGAGGCTGTTCGTTCCCAGGCCCGGGAGTTTCTGTCGCGGGCTAAGTCCATTGCACTTGCCCAGGATTGTCGGCATAACGTCCTGCTGATGCGTTACAGTGCTTGCACCGATGCCTTGGACACTCAGAAAGGTTTCCTGGGGGCTGCTTTTGTGTCTGAGGGCGAGACAATCACAAATGTGCAAAAAACCATGCGGGTCATCTTGGAAAGATTTTGCAGTCCTGGGTCCGGAGGGCCGTCGCCCCTTGACCCGGACAAGGATCTTCTGCAGAACATCTGCTCTGCTGTTTCCATCTTTGTGGCAGACGCAGCTAGCAACGAGCAAGGCGCAGGCAGGGCAAGCAAAACCATATTTCCTGAATTATTGACAGTGCAGCGAGATCGTCCCCACGCTGCGACTCGAATCTTTGAAAGACCGTGGAACGCAGATGCAGAAATCCAAAGCACTATCCATATGTGCATTTCCGTGTGCCAGAAGATTCAGCACAGCCCTGTTTTGCAGAAGGTCTTTGCTTCCTTCATAAAGAACAACGACACCTGCCCGACCGCGTCCAAGCGAGTGAAATCATTGCAATCTGCGAAGCATCGGTTCGCGAGTTTGAGTCAGCCGTTAGGCAGATTCATTCTCCATTGGGATGCGATTCTGGCGACTTTGCTGTGGATTCATGCCAAGCGTGATTCTGATGACAAGAAGTTCGCAGTCCAGGCTTTGAACGATTGGACAGAATCAAAGTTACTCCTCGTTGGAATGCTTGCAGACATCGCTGATGAATGCATATTCTTGGTCAGAAAAACTGACAGCGAGAACTACGACATCAGCGCGTTCCCCGTGGAAGTGGATGCATTTGTGCAGAGACTGCATTACTTGATCAACGAAGTGTTTCGCTGTCGTCTGTACTGTAGCTACAGTGAAACACTGGTTTGGTCATGTTGGTTTATGCCTTCCGGATTGTGGTAGGTCTGTGCGTGTGTGATGTTGTTTGTTCGCACGGGTGCCTTTATGTTGCTTGTACACAGACGCCCTTGACCAGGGCGGCATCCTTCGGCAGGGGTTCACAGCACACATGCTGTCACTTCTGGAGCAGCAGCGTGCCTTCATTCTCAATGGAGTTCCTAAAGTTCTTGGGGGCGAGAGCAAACTATCGCAGCACGACATCCTTGCTTGCGTCAACAGGCTTCAAGCTTTCCTTGTACTGGCGATGGAAACAATACGTTCAGAATTCCCTGAGCAGGAGCTTCTGGCTAGCTTCAGAGCTTTCGATGTGACTTCCAAAGCTTCCCGCAGAGATGCTACATTTCAGCAGCTCCAAGCGCAGAGGTCACAGTTGCACCGCCTGGCCCAAGTGTTCAAGGTGAGCGAGCAGGCTTTGGTCGATCAGTTCGAAGACCTCCTGCCAATTGCAACCTATGAGGCAACATCTCGAAGGTGTGCGACGTCGCTGGAAGCATGGGTGTCTGCCATCAGCAGAGTGACCAAGCACAAGTCAACAGGAATGAGGCACCCTGTTGGAGCCCTCAAGCCTATCATCCAAGCATATAGCGCCTGGAACGGGCTTACGACTTCGGGTGTTGAGCAGAGCTTCAGCCTTCAGGATAGAATGATCCCCAAAGAGCGAAGGCTCATGGACGAGGCCACGGAGCTGGACGAGCTGCAGCTGATGTTTGACAAAACCAGCAGGAATTCTGATGCCATGTGCCGCGATGCCGCGAGGATTTGGAGTCATAATTTTGGACTGCCAAGGGCAAGCGCAAAGGACAGAATTGACAAGGGCGTGCCCAAGAAAAGAGTGCTGCCTGTCGAAAGTGAAGCAGGTTTTCGCAAGCGTCGCCGAATGGATGTCGAGGCGGGCATGACCTCAGTTCCTTCGGAGACTGTGGAGTCCGTGGCCGCTGCCGGAAGTGATGGCTTGTGGACCGCAAGCATGCTGGATGAGAGGACATTCCAGAAGAGCAAGCAGTACGAGAGCCGTGTACAAACGTTCTTGGAGAATGCCTGCTTGGCATCCGAGGTGGACGAGCAGCTCTTGGCTGCTGCGCAGGCCTTCAAAGACAACCAAGACAAAAACGAAAAAGAGCGACGTTGCAAGGAACAGCGGGCCGAGAATTTGTTGAGGCCTGTGGCGCAAGATGTTCAGCAAGTCTCGCACTGGTTGGAGAAGCCTGAGTGGCGGCTGCCAGGAGGCCGTGCAGTCGGCGATCCTGTTTTTGCATCCAACTATGTGGTGGCTGATCCGTCTGCCCCTCCTGAAGAAGCCTTGTGGTGCGCAATGTTGAAGGGCGGTTTGATTGTCAACCACGACTACTTTTTGGCTAAAGGTGGCAAAGGCATCGCCTTCGACTTTATGCCGGCAACATCTGTGAAGCGGTCAGTCTTCCTGGGTTCAGGCTTCCGACGTGAATTCCCTAGGCTGGCGGGCATTTTCCTGCACATGATCGGACTGCCTACTTCCCAGTGGAAATTGTTGTGCTCGCTGGAGGAGTTCACGCACCAATCGGTCAAGTTTGCAGGGCCTCACCTGAAACAGCCAAAGAAATATGCGGTGATTGCCATTGTTACGGCAGCAGAGGCCATTGCTGCGCAGGAAGACAATATCTTCGATAAAGTTTCTTTTGCCAGTTTCGTTTGTAAGATGGCCTGTGTGTCGAAGGGGCTTTGTGGCATCTAAGATGCTGGGGTGCTTGCAGTGCCATATAGGGCATGCTTCTGCACTTTCGTGAAGCGTCGACAGACTCGGTGTAGCAGACAAACTGTAGAAATGTGAATTTAAATAGATCATGGACATGTAAAGGCTCGTGGGTTGCACCAGTCTGACGCGCGGCTTCTGGTTTTCACGACAGGGGGCCCGGGGTACAGCCACGAGTTGCTACATGGGGCAAACAATGCGGGGCTTGGCAGTCCCATGCCGCACTTGTTGCACGAAGCTACCGCATGCAGGACACGATCATTTTGCAGCATGTCAGCATGTCTTTCTGTTTTCTGCAGAGAATTGCTGCCAGCATACAGCTGTCCAGTATTGACGAGATCTAACATTTCGCCTCAGCTGAGTCATACCACGCACCTGTGCTGAGGCCGCCATCGTGTGTGAGGTGCTGGGCAGGCGGAACGTGGTTGAGCATGTTTGCGTGCAGTTCTCGACTGGTCCGGCTTCCGATTTCTCATACCTAGTTAGTGCGGTAGTGAAAGGCAAAAAGCAGATTTCTTCAACATGCTTCCTAGAAGGTGAACCAGACGATTGAAATGTCGCATGAGAGCTTGTGCTTCCGAAAATCATTTATGGTGTTGGCTGCGATTGACTTGTAGCATGCGGCTGTGGTGAGGCCATCGTGTGTGGCGCTGGGCAGGCACGAAGTGCTTCCGAGAGATGTTCCCAGCTTACCTGTCGATTCGCTTGCTGTACTGCTGTGCCCTGCATTGAACTCTTCCAGTCCTGTGGGTCAGTGTCATGGTGCCCTGTGCTACACACGCATGCCCACGACTCTTGCAGAGCCCATGTTCTTGTGCTTCGCATTCTGTTCAAAGCTGGGGCTGAGATTGTTAGAGGATTTTGGTGCCTCCCTCGTGCACTGCACATTTCATCATGGCGCCAAAGACAAAGGCAAAGGCAAAGGCAAAGGCAGTGGCAGCAGCTCCGGCCCCGGATGCTACCAACATAGAGATGGATGTGGGTGTGCCGGAAAACCTGAACGCAAGCTACCACGAGGAAGTCCAGGCTGCCGTCCGGACCATCTTGGCACACCCCATGTACATGGACGTTCAGACGTGCAGCCCCATCGGCATCAGCGCCCATGTCAAGGCTGAGGAAGCGGGCAACAAGGCAGGGTGATGGTTTGTGCAAGAAGCCAGTGGGTTGTGACCCGATGTTATTTAAGCGACAAGGCCAAAGACAGTCTAACAACTATCGGTGTAAAGCTGGCTGCTTCGATCGCAACTGCTATAATTTAATAGGCAGGACTGACATTGCTTGGGTTGTGAGGCAGGGCTAAGCCACAGCAAAAAATAAAAGAATGTTATGTCAAACTGCCTTATCAGAGGGCAGCTGTCCTAAGGCCAGGGTGCCAGCACCCTAGCCTTACAACAGTCCCCCCCGGACGCGGCTGTTGTAAGCCAGGCGTTCGGCAACACCTAAGGCTGGGGTGCTAGCACCCCGGCCTTAGAACAGTTTACGTGTTGCCGAACGCCTGGCTTACAACAGCCGCGTCCGGGGGGGACTGTTGTAAGGCTAGGGTGCTGGCACCCTGGCCTTAGGACAGCCGGGGTGCTGGATTGATTGCTGGATCTAGGACTCGGACAGCTGGGGTGCTGGATTGAAGAGGTTCCTTAGAACAACCGGGGCCAGCCCCGGAGCGATGCCGGGGGAGCCAGAAGTGGACTTGGGTTCCTTTCGCCGGGAGACAACGTCCTGAAATGTGGTGAAAACCATGATTTTGCCACTATGTCTAGGGAAGGGTGGAGCTTGTTGGATAGTTTCCAATACCTCTCCAATACCTCCCTGGTACCTCTCCAATACCTCTCCGGCACCTCTCCTGTACCTCTACCGTTTTCCCCCGACGCATCTACTATGACACCTCCGAATTCTTGTTTCTTTAGCCTTGCTTCTGTCTTGCAAATTGCCATGAGTTGCAACCTGCGCGGGTCGTTGACATGAAGTAAACCCATCTCAACGGACCTCAGTGGACCGTCATAACCTGCGCTTCAAGTCCCCAGAATCTGCCCAGGTCCCGAAGGTCCGTATTAAGGATGAGTTTTGGGCCTCCTCTATAGATGAACTCTGCTACACTCTCATTTGTTGCGGGATCGGAGAAGCGAAATCCAAATCTTCAGGTGGGGCAACCTACATCGGGTTACTGCATACGGCCTCGCCAGGTTGCTTTCACCCAAGAGCACTACGAGCAAGCGATGAGCACGGACAAGAGCTATGATTGCGCAGCAAACATCTGGTGGATAAACTTCCGCTGGTCTCCTACACCGAAGGTTCCCCTCAGCATTGAGTCCGTCAAGCGGCTGCAGCGATCGCATTTTGCCCAGCCACGGCGTATGGACAAGGGTGTCAAGGTTGCTGTGGGTTCGGATTTGGCCCTGAACTTCGGGAACCTTCGCTGCATCTCCCCAGAGGAGATGCTGCACGCAATGCTCTTTGCAGTCAGAGATGCCATTGTTTCTGGGGCCGACGAGGCAGTCCTGAGGACAGTTGTTAAGAGGGCTCGCTGGGTTGGCAGGTTCATGTTGTGGTATACCACCGTGACTCTTCTCAAGTAAAGAGAGAGAGTGTGTGTGTGTGTGGGAGGAGAGGAGCGATGCTTCAATCCTTCCTTTGAGTGCAGGAGATGGAAGACCATCATGCTCAGCACGACAATCGTGTTTGAGCTCCATGACAGCATGCAGTCCATCTTCTTCAAAGGAGTGACTTGCTTCTTTTATGCGTGAATGTGTGCTTGCCATACTTGGAAAGGCGCATGGAAGGGGGGGGTTCGGGCAGAGCCGAGGTCAATCTGCGAAATGAGATCGTGTCAGAGTATGATGCGCTGGTGCGTTCGGCAACGCAGCGGGTGTATGAGCTCATGACTTTCCGAGCGCAGCTTCTGCAAGGAGGATGGGAGCTCGCCGGGAGATCCGAAAAGAGGAAGGCGATCAGTGACGAGGATTTGTTCCAGGAGTGGTCGCGGCATGGGAAAGAGGGCGAGTCAAAATCAGCCGAGCAAGTGACTTTGAACTTCGTCCAGGTTGCCGTGACGGTGTACGAGAAGATTTTGAGCCAAGGTTGCCTTCGGGACATGGTCCTGAAGATTGACTCGACCTATGACAAGCAGAGCCCGTTTACTTTCATCACCAACCTGGACCTTGTGGCGGGCAGGACCAAGTCGGTCGAGCAGGGTGCGTGGATGCTGCGCTCGATAGAGCACATGCTCGTCACGGAGCAGTGCACGCCGAAAGACTTCAGCAAGCGAACACTGGCCCCGGCAAAGCAGAAAGGGCTGCTGGATCTCATGCTCTTCAAAATGGACCTGCTGCGGCACCTGATGCAGTCTGTCTTGCCGGCCATGGTGCTGCCTGGCACGCAAAAGGAGAGCCTCGCCAGGCTCGACAGTCATCAGACATGGCGGGACAACACCAAGAATCTCGCTTGGACCGGTGCCCTGCAGGAGAGCGGCCGATTGTTCTTCACCGTGCTTCAGACCATTATTTATGGCACTGCAGTCGATGGCGGGCTGAGGACCACGTTGAAGGCCACGTCCGACGTCACTGAGTTTCTCCAGCAGAACAACGTCGTCAACGACTCCATTGAGGAGGTGCTGGCCAAGAACAGGCAGGAGGTGGGCAAGCCTACTGATCAAGAGGGCGACCGGAATGACCCGTCACGGCCGGTGGCTGTCGTGATCACAGGTAACGTCAGCTTGACCGATCTCGTGAGCCAGCAGCAGATCGAGAAATGCAGCGGCACGGAAGGTCAGAGTGAGAGCCTCGACCAGTGGTTCGCGTACCTCAACACCAAGTTCGAGCAGTTCGTTAGCCTTGTTGTCGATGCCGGCACTGCAACGATGTCAACGACGGAGCTCAGCAATTTGCTGAGCGCCACCATCCTGAAGGACGTGACAGGGCCCGTGCTCATGATCTACGACTCGAAGAGTTCCGGCGAGGCATCAAGTCATGCGGCCCTGAGGCTTCCACCCTTCAGGGCAGGCCACTTCAAGCGCATGATCCAGGCGTTCGTGAGGGGGCGGGGTGCAGAGCCGTCCGAAGGCGGTGAAATGGCTGAGGAGCTGCGGCCGAACGACATGGTGTTGTTATTGGATGGAGGGAGACCAGGGAATGAGGCCGCGGCCCAAGCCTCTTTTGTGAAGGGTGACGGATCTTTCATGACGAAGCAAAAACTCGCCTACATGCTCTACAGCGATGAAGAGTCGTTTGGTGAGCGCCGCGACCGCATCAGGGGCTTCATCCAGCAGGCCGAAGGTGCGCATCTCTACACACGGTCTGGGCCACAATTCCAGAAAAAAGACCGCAAACACTTCAAAGGCACGAACAAGGGCCAGGTGATGGGGCCCATCCGGATGCTTCCATGGACGGATGATGCCTGCTGGAGGCTGCCGCCTGACCAGAAGAAGCGGGTCTATGGGAAGGAGCACATCGTGCTGGTCGGCGGTGCGGTGCCGGAGGAGTTGGGGGACGCTAAGATCATTGCCTTTGACGACCACATGGAGCCCGTGTTCTACCACTTCAACAACCCGCTGGTCTACGCCGAGTTTCTCCACAGCTACAAGCCCTCCGCTGTGGTTCGTGCTCCGGAATCAGATCACAACATGGCCATTGAATGCATCAAGCATCAGGTGCCACTGATTTCGATTTGCCTCTCGAGCGCCCATGCCGACTTGCTCAAAAACCATATTTTGAAGAAGATGTGGCAAGAGTTCCTCGATGAGAACAGCGATCTGTATGAGGCCAGCCTGACTCTTGGCTGTGTGGTTTGGAGTTAAGTCTTGGAAGTCGGTGAAGCTAGGGGAGGGTCCTCGCTGAACCGGGGATTTGGATTTCGCTCGCTTGAAAGTGCTTGGGGGTGGCCGGCGAATTTCAGGGCGGATACGTCCTGGAAAACCAGGACCGACATGAACTAAGGGCCAAGCTCCTGCAGCCTGATGCTGCGGCGGCCAAGGGAAAGGCCAAGGCAAAGGCGACCAACAGGAAGCGCAAGTTGGACGGGGAGGACGATGCCGAGGCTGACGTTGCCAAGAAGGGTGCCGGTGCCGAGGGCGGTGCCGGGGGCGGAAGCGGCGATGCCACGGGCGGGGAGAACAAGCCGAAGGCTGTGCCCAAGCCCAAGGCGAACCCTGGTGGGAGGCCGGGGGGGGACAGTGCCGCGGAGCAGGCCCGCCAGGCTCTGCTAAAGAGGCTGCAAGGGGCCATGCCGGGTGCAAGCTGAGTGATGTGCGTCGGAGTCCTGCCTCTCAGTGCCCAGATGTTTTTCCAATCGTGTTACATACATTTCATACAGTGGCAGTTTTCAAGCACAGCTCAGTGCAGCATTAAATTAGCATGAGAGGCAGTGATCACAGGAAGCCGATGTTGCACAGTGTCATTTCCTGCGTCTTTTCCCATGCCGAGTTTTGTTTCGCGATTCCCAATTGCATTGCGATCAGTGCCTGGGCTAATTTTCTACCTGTGCGGATTCCTCAGCGTTCAACGCAAGAGTGACACATGTTCGCGAGCAAAGCCCCGATTCCCTTTGCCTGCATTGGTAGCAGCCGGAGGCACGTGTTGCACCGGAGGCACGTGTTGCATGCTTCTGAGCTGACAGACTTGCTGTCTGCGTTGATCACGAGGTTTGTTGCTCACTGGGTATGTTGCTTACGCAGCACAAGTGGGCTCCGGAAATCATCAACTCGGAGCTTCGGCCTTTGCACTCCCATGGACTCGGGTGAGGAGTAGTACGACTCCCATGGACTCGGGTGAGGAGTACGAAACATGCGAGCGGCTGCCCGGCTTTTCGGGCCGCCACCGTGGGCTGCCAACGAGGAAGAGTGCTCTGAAGCAGAAGCCAGCTGCACGGGCCGTGGCTAACTTTAAGCGGGCGGCCAAGGCAAGCCCTTCCCAGCCGATGATGTCCGAGGTGAGGAAAAAGCCAGCTGCAGCTAAGCGGCCCGCGAAGGGGATGGGAAGCCCATCCTGCGCCCTGCGCACCCTTCCACAGATGATGGTGGACATCATCCGGGATCTGAATTTCGGCATTATCCCACAGAAGTGCTTGAAGTGCACTGAGGATCGCCGCGGCGGGATCCGAGTTGGGAGTGCATGTTCTGGGTGGTGCAGCGAAGTATATGCGTTGAGACGCCTCCAGAAAACGCACACATTGTGCTTCGCATGTGACGTTGACCCGAAGGTGAAAACTTTGGTGCACAACACGCTGGAGCACCACCTATGGTACGATGATATGACCAAGGGTGAGTTCCGCAAGGCTCCGTTTGTGGACCTGTTCATGGTTGGCTTCCCATGTCAGCCCTTCAGCGTCGGAGGACTGCAGAGGGGGGGCGAGGACAGCAGGAGTCAGCCGGCTCTGTTTGCACTGGCCTACATACTCTTGCAGAAGCCGCCCCTTGCAATCCTGGAGAACGTAGCCGGATTGTACAAGAATCACAAAGACTTCTTTGCACTTCTCCTCTCGACCCTGGAAGCCTTTCAGGATGACTATGGCGAACAATTGCAGCTTGCCTTCTTAAACATTTTTGTGGTGAGTTTCAACTCTTCGAATCATGGCTGACCGGGCCTTTTTCGGGGTGCTTTTTGTGGGTGTGATTGTGGTGACTATTAATGGGCGGGGGCCGACCCTAACTGACCGCTGATAGCAAGGTACAACGTTTCATGGCAGCTACTAAACTGCAACACCCATGGAGGGTTACCTCAGCATCGCGAACGAATCTTCATTGTGTGTATCAAGCGCTCCTGCAGCCGCGCCTCGATGGTGTGGCCAGGCCCTGTTGCCTGCCGTCCGTTGAAGGACATGCTGGACATCGACGACCTGATGGACGCAAAGCGAACACCAGGACAGCATTCTGCACTGCGCAAGGGATACAATGCCATCATCAAGCAAGGTGGCAATCCTGACAGTGAGCTGTGGGTCCTGGATATCAGCTCGTCAAGCAAGCGCGCAGTGCACAAGACGCTGAATATGTGCCCTTGCATCACACGAAGTCGGGGCAAGATGAAGGGCTTTTGGTTGTCCTCGCGCAAGCGGTGGACATCGACGTCGGAGAAGCTTCGCCTGATGGGATTGCTTGATGGTGAGATGCCAAGAAATATTCTGAGTGACAGCGCCTTAGGAGGTATTGCAGGCAATGCAGTGCCTATTGGCTTGCTTGAAAGAGTCCTAGGTGCAGCATTGACTGCCATTGGCCGGTGACAGAGTTGCAACAGACGACAGCCGGCCGGTTCAACCTTAAGACCTATTCAACAGCCTCACAAATGATAGTACATCCGAAAACTTAGCAGGTTAATTTACGGGCCATGTGTGTGTGCCTCTGTTGGCATGTACTATATCCATGTCTGTATGTGCGTTTTATGTATGTACAAGGGGAAGTAGTAGCTAATATGTATATGGAAACGCATCAATGGCCCAGGGCTTCGTGGCTTTCTTTGCACAACGAGTATGCTTTGATCGCACGCTGAACAAAAGTTGGTAGCTCCTGTTGCCGCAGCTGTAGCAGATGCTTCAGGCCCTTTTTCAGCCTTAGATTTGATTTCACTGCATGCGCGCAGGCTTCGCAGCCAGGCTTCGCAGCCAGGCTTCGCAGCCAGGCGGGGGCAACCTTCCTGTACAAATGCATTGGCCGAGTGACATGCTTATGGTCGGAGTAATCAGGCCCAATGGGCTGCATACATCCTCCGAGCTGTCTCATGAGAAATTGTGCGACCGAGCTTCATCTTCTTAGAGATCAACGGCGCCATCTCCCGTGCTGTCACCTTTCCCTGTGCGTAGTCCTTAAAGATAGGTCCGAGATGCTTTCTGATACGAGCCTGATCCCAAGACTTCATCTCCAGGAGGCTGCGGCGCCCGTTGATCTTCACTTGTCCCTGCTGGGACAAGACAGTCGAGGCTGGATCCTTCTTGCTTTCCTTGACCGCTTTGTATCGTTTGCGCGCCAGCCCGTCTTGAAGTCTGTGTACGACCATATCACGCTCTAGCTGTACATAAGCAAAGATGACATGCCTGAGAAACGTGCTGGCAGGGTTGGTTTCGGCAGGATCGAGAAGGCCAGGAATATCTGTCGTTGTGATCGTAACTCCTGCTTTCTTAGACATATCAAACAAATCCTGTGCCGTCCTCGCGGAACGGGCTAGGGTTCGGGAGCCCTCGACCACCACATGCTTGATTCCACGTGCTGAGCATGTCTCCAGTAGTTTGCAAAATGTATGCCGCTTGTCTTTCGGCAGGGATCCCGAAATCACCTCAGCAACGTTCTTTGCAATGGTCCAGCCCTGAGTAGTGCATAGTTTTCGGCAAGCTTGTTCCTGGCGCTGAACACTCGCACTGTCTTTGTTGGCCGCAGAAGACACCCGCGAATAAATGACTGCCTTGGTCTTCTGTTTCTTTACCACCATAGCGCCGACCAGACTACAGCCACATATCTGAGGAATGCGGCGGCACATGCACACATGCTGTCTCGAAACCAGCTAATCAAGCATCCCCTTGGGTATAACGTCGAAATCCTTAGGAAATTACAATACGCAACCGGTTGCCAATTGTGATTTCCGAGGCATTCACTACCCCCTTATTGAACCCTAAGCCCTGAAACCTCAAGGAACGAGAGAAGGACAACAACTGAGCTGCATTTCTCAAGCGCGCCGTGTGCAGTGCTCCAGGGCCCTGGCCTGGAGAGTGCTTGCGCTGGATCTTCTCACATCCCTGGCTCCCCAGCGCAGGGGCTGGCACTTCGTGCGATTGATCCTAGTCCTGGCTTGTCCGCCTACTTGACTCACAAGCTTTGTCGTTAAAAGACTTCCAATGTTGTCCTGGATGCCAGGACTCGACTCAATCTGCTAGTGTCTTTTAGTGTAGACTAGTATAGTATACTAAAACGATACAAAGCGGTCAAGGAAAGCAAGAAGGATCCAGCGTGAAGATCAAAGGGCGCCGCAGCCTCCTGGAGATGCAGTCTTGGGATCAGGCTCGTATCAGAAAGCATCTCGGACCTATCTTGAAGGACTACGCATTGCCTGTGCCATGACCATTGGCAAGTTACAACTCCAAAGTTATGCCCCCTGAACCCCTACACCCTATTATATCCCTGATAGTAACCCTATTATTGAAGCCTCCTCGAAACACGTACTCTGAAAGCCGGCCCCCTAAGGCTGCCAAGCTCGTCGGCTTTTCGAGCCTCTTGCTGGTGCCACGGGTCCGTCTGCCACGTTTCAAAAGAGAGAGGGAGGGCGGAGAGTCCAAATTTTGGCTCAACGACGACGACAGTTGTGACATTGACGACATGGTGCACGAAGGAAGGTTCTATGAATGAGGCTAGTGGTCGACTGAGTGCAGGGTTTGGGGTTGTTTTGGGTTGTTGGGTGTTTGCGGCTGCAAAGGTGTGTTCCAGCAAGTCGTCTCATTGAACTCTTCTTCTTCGGCATCAGTGCCATTCGTGCAAATCCCAGGTTTGGCTTTTGCCAGACGAGAAGCTCCAGGAGGCTTGGAACCCTAAACCCTGAAAACCCTGAACCCTAAACCCTTATTAAACCCCAAGGGCACCCAGTCGGGTAGCTAGCCCCTGGACCCCAAACCCTAAGCCCATCCCCCCCCCCTTGGGAACTAGAGCATTTCAGCGGTCTCGGCTTTCAGCTTGGTTGGTTGCCCAATGAAGTAGCGGGAGATACCAATAATCCCAACTTGAATATGGATCGGGGTCGTCCAAAGGTGAAGCATCAGTATTGATTCATTTTGATGCTGTTTGCAAGCTCGTAAGGTATTAGAACCCAGCGTCCTAGCATGTATGAGGATTTCAGGCAGAGGGCTGCAAGCCCTAAAGTACTTCAAGCCCGACAGACACCCCATCCCTATCCCGTAACCAGCAACCCGCTGTTGCCGCCGTTGCGGTCCTGCAACGATGCATCGATGGGGAAGTTCCCGGCCTGAAGCGTGAACTTCTTGACCGGAAGAAGAGGGCAAGCAACTGTTCAATGAGTGGACATAGGCTGAAGATGGACACACATGCGCCTGGTTTAACACCACCCTTGTCCGACAGGCTTTGCAAGCTCGTCTCGGCGGATGAAGTGCATCGTCACCACGCCGACAAAGCGTTGGACGAGTAAAGCTGCGAGCACAGGTTGCTGAGCCGCTCGAAGCCGGCAAAGGAGAGAGCTTGAATGTGCCCGGCAGCTGTACCTGCTCGACGTTCCGTTGATCGCTACAGAGTTCGATCAGCTTACAGCCAGAAACGGCTTGCCTCTCCTATATCAAGGACAACAGTGCCCATCGGCACCAGGGACATTGTCATCGTGCATGCGCTAATTCGTGCCCCAGCCCTACTAGCTTACTTACAATTGCGCAATTAATTTCTGCCCCAACCGTACACCTCAGTGTAATCAGTAAGTTAAGGATAAGGCTTCTGGGATTTGTGCGAATCACGAACAGCCATAAGTTTTGAAATAGAAGCCCCCGCATCATCCGACACTCCACTATCGAGGGTTCTTGCTTGGTTCAACTGTTAGGACTCCTGGATTTAAGAGCTGTCATAGTTCAAGCTGGGATTGTCCCAAGAAACAGGGAATCAGAACCCGCAAAGAAAATCAACCCAAAGCCTATAGGTCCTAGTGTAAGGGTACAGAGGCTTTTGGTTTAGGCCTTGCTTCCTTGGGTTTAAATAGTCGGCCACCAACCCTTCAGCATCCACAGTGACTCTGGGCAGACACGCTGCCGCCCTGAGGATTACAGCTGCTTGCCCTGCGTCGTCGTTGCAGGGGCCATGGGATCAAGTGATACGTTATACATTGTTTTGGAAGGGTTTAGCCTGGGAGTTCCAAAGTGTGGCGCAGCAGGTTGGCTTCAGTCGAGTAGGTAATGTGGAGCTGGTTCAGGGCAAAGGCTTGGTTGGGTTGACCGGGTGCCTCCCCCTGATAGTGGGTTTAGGGTTTAGGGTTAGGTTTTGGGATGAAGCCTTCAGGATTGGAGCCAGGCTTTCGAGATTGTGTTTTCAGGGAGCAGGTCATTGACATGTGCCTCCCCTGATAGTGGGTTCAGGGTCTAGGGTTAGGCATTGGGATGAAGCCATCAGGATTGGAGCTAGGGTTTCGAGATTGTGTTTTGCGGGAGCAGGTCATCTGTGGTGGCACGTGTTGCTTGCGAACGATTCAGCCCAGCAATGTCGACGGACCGTGGTACCACGACAACGTCATACCACAACGGCACAGGTGGCATCCACCTAGCGGCCCGCAAAGTCGATCGCCAAGGCTGCTCAGTAGCCTCAGTGCATGTGGCGAGTGGAAGGCCTTCCCCCCAGAGGACGCCACCAAGCTTTGAGCTCCAGCGCATGTGAACCATGGCTTCGAGCCCCGTTCCTTTGAAGGCTCGTGGGCTTCCCGAGCTCCTGGCAGCAGTTGCTCGTGCGAGCTGGCGCGGACCGAAGCTTCATCTCACAAGAAGCGCGCCCTGCTGCAGTGCCAGATCCACCACTGGAGCAGCCGATGACAAGAGCAGCCTGAAATGCAGCTCCAGCCAGCTGCACAGGAGCCGATCCCTGGCGAACTTGCAATAAGCATGGACGAGGTGGTCCAGGACGTAAGGCTGCCCTCTAAAGTAATCCTCAACCCTGAATTTGTGCCTCCCCTGATAGTGGGTTCAGGGTCTAGGGTTAGGCATTGGGATGAAGCCATCAGGATTGGAGCTAGGGTTTGGAGATTGTGTTTTGCGGGAGCAGGTCATTGACATTAGTATTCTGTAGTGGCACGTGTTGCTTGCGTCTTGCCTCCTGCCTATTCCTAAGTTTAAGCACCCTTCTCAAGCCACTCTAAGCCCTCCAACCCTTCGGAGTCCTGGTGCTCCAGGACGTAATAGTAAGGATGCCCTGCCCACTTCAAGCTGAAATTTGTCTAAGCACCCTTCTCAAGCCACTCTAAGCCCTCCAAAGCTTCGGAGTCCTGGTGCTCCAGGACGTAATAGTAAGGCTGCCCTGCCCACTTCAAGCTGAAATTTGTCTTGGGTCCTGCCTATTCCTAAGCACCCTTCTCAAGCCACTCTAAGCCCTCCAAAGCTTCGGAGTTCATTCCAATGATTTGGACGGTTCAAGGGGTCATTGCAGGTTGGACGGTTTATGTTTGCCCTTCTATTATCTACAGAAGGTGGCCTAAGTCTTATTGCATTCAAGGTGTCTAGGATTTGTTGACTGACTTTTGGATTGATGGTAAGGAGCTTTTCAACACCCTAAACCTTAAACCCTAAACCACCCTTTGGCCCCATTGGCCCCTGTCTTCCGGAAAGATAGCCGTACATGGCAGCCCAACATCCTAAGCCCACTCAGTCGGGTTGTCAGGAGGTTTTGAGACTCAAAACCCGGAGCCCGTTCGCTTGGGTTTGTACCCTAAACCCTAAACCCTAGCCGCTCAAGCACAAAACCGAACGTGTCCCGAGGAGAAGACGGGTCATCGCCCTGGTTTGCAGACAAGGCTCCTGCGAGTGTTATATGTCATACATGCAGAGGCTGAATTTTTTTCGAGAGCACTGAACAATGCAGGATGTGTACCAGTGCCGGCTGCGGGCAGCGCTTTCGGTCCACGCGGTCTGCGGTTTCCTTGCCTGCAATTATTAATATACAGTACTGAGACCAGACGACTCAAGAAAGACAGAAAGAAGAGTCCGAGATCCAATTGGGCTTGCAGGCAGGATGTTCCCTTGATTGACTGGGCTGTCCTAGGGCCTCAGTCAGTGCTAGCTAAGTCTGTCGTAACGCGGATGACTAATGTGTTGGGTTCGGAGGAGTGTGTGACACGCGTGTGCTGTGGGTGGAGAATCTGAATCTGCTCATGAAGATGCAGGACGACGAGTGCATGCTCTAGTCTAGATTGCTGTTGTGGCCCGAAAAAAGCTTAAGCCATTTTGATTGGGCGTTGGCACTCGCGACCTGCAAGCATGGCCAACACAGACAGCGCAAACGCCAGGGTTGCTGCTAGTAGGCCCGACGAAGCCGGGACACACAGCGGCAAGCTGGAAAGGGTGTTCTTCGCTGTCATCACGGACGAAGACTGGAATCGTCTCAGCAACGTCATCTTCGTGGACGGCGAGGACGGTGCTGAGACGGAGCTGGTCTTGTATGACACCGTCGCGGAGGCCAGTGTGCATGGATATAGAGTAAATGAGAAATAGGGTTTTGGCGCTGCGTTGACACAAATCGCAAGACCTCGCAATAAAGCTGCAGGCCATCTGGGCGCTGCACAAGAAGAAGGCCCGAGGACTCAACTTGCATCTCTCCAACCCGACCATGCCCAAGAAGAAGATCCGCAGGGCCGAACCCTTGTCGCCCTACGTGTCTCGAGACGACACGTCCACCGAAGCTGCCGCGGAAAGCCCCGACATGGACCGACTGGTGGACCTGACACGCAGCTACCGGGTGTGGAGGTTCCGCTGCGCAGATGTTCAGACGGCGATCCAGCAGTCCCTCTTGGATTACAGCACCGCCCCCGTCATCAAGGGAGTAAAGGGGTGCAAGGCTCGACTTCCGTTGTGGCCGCTGCATCCGCTCTTCCAGATCCAGTGTTTCCGCACCGTGCTGCACACAACCGTCGAGGACCGAGACAAGGTGCTGATGCGGCCGTCCCTTCTCACCTTTTACCGGCCCGAAGACGACGTCGTTGTGGGCAAGGTGGCAAAGGTCTTGATTCTCGACACGTACGGGTCGCTTGCGGGGACCGAAAACCACATGATCTTCTTGGGCGAGAGCTCGACGGCAGCATTCTTGACCTGGCTTGTGCAGGAGACCCCCAAGACGGACGTGACCCTCTGCGTTCACAAGCTCCCCGACCTAAAGACCGGGCTTTCCTACACGGGCGCGATCTACTCCCGAATTGCGGCCACTTGTCTGCCATGCTTGTGCTTGCCATGACCTGTCAACAGTTGAATGGCCGCGTTGCTAGCGGCATGATGAACGACTTGTGTCTGCATCTGTCCAGGACTTCTGGTCTCACGATGGCGCTTTGGACGTGGAAGGTAAGATCGAGGTGAAGTTGGCGTTCGTCTTGGCCGAGACCCATGCCTCGCTGGCCGACCTCATCAAAGAGACCACCGGTGTGCTTCGAGTGCAGGAGATACAGAAGCTCAAGCACCAGATCTCCAAAAAGAAGCTTGAGCTCGCAACCCTGCAGCGGACCCTGGCCGGGTTGCAGGACCCTCAGGAGCAGCGGCCCGACGGCCCGACAGGTGCCCGGCGATGTACAGCCGAAGCCATGGGCTGCTGAGTTCGCCATATGTCGCGTTTTTTTCAGCAGGGACCGAGAGCCAGCAATTACGAGCACACCACGTCTTTTGTTTTTAGCGGCATGTGTTGTTACTTCAAAACCCTTACGCGTACACAAGTTATCTAGCCCAAGGGTTCCCTCTAAGGCGATGAGAATGACTTGGCAACAACATGTGTTTGGTGCTGGCGTTTTGCTCGCCTTGCGACTTCATTTAAAGGCTGCGGCCCGAGGCACGTTGTCGTCAGACAGTTGCTCACTTTCATGAATGACTATACTAGCAAAATAGCTAGCGGCACAACTGTCGGCTTGTGGCTGCTGCCACAAACAGCTTTCGAATCAGAGTCATCTCTAGCCTGCGCATCTTGTCGACGTGCAATTCAAAAGAAGGACCGTTTTCGGACATTGTTTTCTTGTCATGATGTCTGCAGATGGCCAAGGTTGGCAGCCTTAGGGGGCCGGCTTTCAGAGTACTTGTTTCGAGGAGGCTTCAATAATAGGGTTACTATCAGGGATATAATAGGGTGTAGGGGTTTAAAGGTAGCTTAGGGTTGTTGAGTTTTAGGCAGGGATTAGGGATTCAGAATTTAGTATGATATACTAGAAGCTAGTATACTATACTAGTCTACACTAAAAGACACTAGCAGATTGAGTCGAGTCCTGGCATCCAGGACAACATTGGAAGTCTTTTTATGCACATTACTATTGTTATTATTAAATTATCATTGTCACATAATCCTATTTCAACAGCGGCTGTGACATGACCGGGCGCGCTGCAGTCGTCACACAGAGGCCCCGACCTCGGCATGACTCTGACGGCATGACTGATAGCTGCAAAAGTAACGACATTGGACATGCATGCAAACCAGCGCAGCAAACTACAGCCACATATCTGAGGAATGCGGCGGCACATGCACACATGCTGTCTCGAAAACCAGGTAGCCCTGACTCGAAAACCTAAGTTTTCAAGACAGCTTTTCTGTCATTGTTCCCCGTCATGTGAGATCCAAGTCCGTAACAGCCAAACATAGACCTTTTTGGCTAGATCCTGAGTACTCGCCGCCAGGCCTCGCAGCAGTGAGGACAATGCCAAGGAGGCGAGAACCTCAGGTTGCTCCAATCGGCAAGACAGCACGAGCTCCCAAATGATGTCATTGTTCCCCGTCATGTGAGATCCAAGTCCGTAACAGCCAAACATAGACCTTTTTGGCTAGATCCTGAGTACTCGCCGCCAGGCCTCGCAGCAGTGAGGACAATGCCAAGGAGGCGAGAACCTCAGGTTGCTCCAATCGGCAAGACAGCACGAGCTCCCAAATGACGGACCACGTGTGAGTGTGTGCATGTACTCGTATGAAGACTGTCGCCATGCAGCCACTGAGCAGATCCATGGACCCGGATGCAGGTCCCCCCGGTCCCATGAACTCACTTCCTAAACCGCAATCTCGGAACTGCCTAGCTCTTAGTACTGGAAAGCCAGTGTCTTAGGTCGTGTCTCGGGCAACGTTTGTGCATGTGCTGAATAAGAATATCAGACAGGCTAGAGTCTCAGTTGAGAAGATAGAGAAACGATTCCTGGCTTTGGGTAATTTCAATACGCAGCCGGTTGCTTGTGTTTTCTTATGCAATCAAACGTTTCCTTGGTGAAAAACAGTCCTAATCCTTGGGCAGTCACAATACGCAACCGGTTGCGTTCAACTCAAAGTTTACGAATACTGTTCACATAAGTATGAAGTTTCTTTTCAGAGTTTTAGGTTCGGGGTTTTAAGGTTTAGGATATGGGGTTTGGGGTTTAAAGGTAGCTTAGGGTTGTTGAGTTTTAGGCAGGGACTAGGGATTCAGAATTTAGTATGATATACTAGAAGTTAGTATACTATACTAGTCTACACTAAAAGACACTAGCAGATTGAGTCCAGTCCTGGCATCCAGGACAACATTGGAAGTCTTTTTATGCACATTACTATTGTTATTATTAAATTTTCATTGTCACATAATCCAAATTATTTCAACAGCGGCTGTGACATGACCGGGCGCGCTGCAGTCGTCACACAGAGGCCCCGACCTCGGCATGACGGCATGAATGATAGCTGCAAAAGTAACGACATTGGACATGCATGCAAACCAGCGCAGCAAACACAAAGTACATCCTGGCATGACTCATTTTTTAGACCGCGGGGGTTCAAAAAAACTCGAAGCTGCAAAATTTTGCAGGGACCTCCCGCATCAGGTACACGCCGTTCTTCGCCCTGTAGAGGCGGAGGTTGGCCTTGGATTGCGGTTGTTATTTGTCAGCTGTCACTGTACCTTGCTGTCTCTAAGTCAACGGCAGGTCTGATGTACACATGGCCCGAGGATTGTAGCTGCTGAAGGTCCCTAAACCCTAAACCCAACTGTACGAGCCAAGCGACCGACAGTGCAGAATGCACGTGCACCCTCACCCACATTGTGGCGGTGCGTCGGCCCAACCTCTGCCAGTCTCCAGGTAGAACGAGGTGCACGTGCTGGCGAGCCCCCCGATGCAGGCCATCCCTTGGATTGCATTCTACCACTCCGAAGATGCGTGGCATAAAACCCTACACCCTAAACCCTATGCATGTGTTGTTGTGCTGGGACACTTCTCGATTGAGGCACGCAGCTTGGAGTCCGTGCCGTGGTACAAGACCTGAGACAACATCTCATAAGAGGAAGAACAACAACAAGAAGAACAATAATAGCATAATAGTAGTAATGCCAGGGTGCCCGTGGAGCATCGCGGAGGCTGACCTCCATGTGGTTCAGCTCCACAGCGCTGCTGTGCCCCTGGACGGCCCGGATGTAGCCCTCCTGGGTCTCGTACCGCGACTTGTCGTCGGAGGAGACGAGGGCTTGCAGCTGCTGGATGGTGATGGAACAGAAGTCGGCCGCCTCTTCATTCCACACCCATCCTTCCCGATCCTGACGACCAGAGTGCCGGAGCAGCCAGCTCAACGACTTTCCCACGGCACCTTCGATTGATTCCCGCCGCTACAGAACAACAAGAAATTGCAAAAGACACCTTCAAACATGATTGTACATTCTGTTTCTGGAGCCGAGCAACGTCTCGTCTTCGGAGACAGCGTGCCTTTGTCCCCCCAGATTAGAATTTGTTCAGCGAATAGGCGTGTGCATGAGAGTAACATTGGAAAACAACCGAAATATTGCCGAGGCTCGGGGCTTCTTCGCCGCACGCTCGGCCACAGTCTCTGAGCGTCCTCGGGTAAATCGAAAGTCCAAGCATACAAGCCCTGCACGGTCCTGTTGAAAGCTTTTGTCAAGACGCGGCTGCCAGATGAAGGCTCGCGGGAACCTAAGTTCGAGGATACGTGAAAATCCGTGGGTTCTATGAGCTCACGCAAAGAGAATCAGAAAAGCCTGTCCTGGCATCCAGGACACTGGCCCCTTGCCGCGAGGATGAAGATGCAGCTGGCTCTGAAACTGAGCTTGACGATGCGTGAAAACCCGTTGGTTCTCAGCTCACTTAAAGAATCAGAAAAGCCTGTCCTGGCATCCAGGACACTGGCCCCTTGCCGCGAGGATGAAGATGGCGCCGCTCCTAGGTTTCTGATTGGTTCTCCAGGACATCACGCTGAAGCATTATTATAGTCTTATTTATTAGCTCATTCATGCCCAGGCACCAGTCGGACGATCAGTCCACCCAGGCGGCGGCTGTGACGGTGGTTGTGGTCCTAAGCTTCTGCTTCATGTCTAAAGCGTTCCCTAAACCTTCACCTCTAAACCCTCAAGTGACCCAGGCATAATTTGGGAAGACGATCCACGTAGCTTGGGCCGTTTCTTCGGCTGCACATTTGACACCGGCCGAATCATCAAGCAGCCTCGCATGCACACCATGAATGAAAGTGTCAGATTCTTGCTTCCCAGGAAATCCTGGTTTTTGGCCAAGAGACTGCTGTCGTCACTGTCATCGTCTGATCCGTGGTTGCCTCAGCACATGTCTTTGACTGATTTCGGTTTTCCGCTGTGCACTGATTCGCGGTCTCAGGAACGCTGCTTGAAGTCTTCGTACTGCTGGTGAAGCCCTAAGACACAAGTGAGATGAACAGCTTCAAGCAGCACAGGTAAGCACATAACTCAACATGGCTAGACAAGCGTCGCTGAAGCTCATTGTAGATTGCGTCCCGCTCGGCAACAGCTTGTTCTCCTTAGTTGGGTGAGCCAATTCATACAACACTGTAGCTACTAGCAAACTGAATATTCTTCAGTGTTGTTCTTCAATATTATCCTAATACAAACTCCTTCTAAGGCCGCCCTAGCCTAGGATCCCCCCAAGTTTTCAGAAACAACAATGTAGTTAATCAGGAGACATGTCCTGGCATCCAGGACTAGATTCGACTTTTCACGGCCTCTGCTGCTTCGGCCAGAGCGTCGTCTCCTTGCTGTGGGCCACTTCAGACAATTTGATTATCCACACTCAAGAATGAAAGCTCTCACCTCTCACTTAGCAAGAAAGCACATAAAATCATGCCGGGATGCGCATGCCCCTTGCAACATCTGCCATGTCCTCTTCTGTGAGGCCTCAGGCACCATCGTGACACTGATCCTTTTTCTGGGTCGTTAAGCACCCTTCCCCTGCCCAATTGCAAGAAACCACCTTAAACTATTCCAAGATTCGAGTCTGGAAGGCATCATTGGCGAGCAGCTCCTCGCGCTCACCTCAGGCTCCATCGTGATAAGAAAACACAAAAATAGCTTCTGCTCATGAACAATGAAGGCAGAGCAGGCTGGCCCTGAACATACTCCCATACTCGTTGAGGCTTCAGGCAGGATGCGTGCTGCACGGGCTTCTGACGCAGCCGCCACCGCCTCATTTCCTTGGGGGTAGGTCATAAGATGTGATCATGACAGCTAGCGCCACCGACTACAGTGCTGCTGTATCCAATGCAGCAACCAAGGCACGATCGGCGTGTGCTTGCTCTCGCTGGCGCTGAACTTAGTAGGGCACACTTGCAAACGTACATGTCCCCACAGAAACAAGCACAGCAGAGAAGCATAAGAACTTGCATGTTAGAGGTCAAGGAGCGAAAAGCAAGTAATCGTCGATTGTCCCGCACAGCATCCGACGGGCCGGGTTTTCCAAACCACTTGGTTGTCACCATTGCGGCACAGGGATCTACAACTACTCTTAGTGACTACCACAGTAGTGACACAGTGATCAGTGGTAGATTGTAGTGGTAGTTAGTTAGTGGTAGATTGTAGTGACGTAGTGGTAGTGGTTGTGGTAGTGGCGGCCATATTTCTCATGTGCAATGGGGAAGGGTTTAGGGTTAAGGAATTTGGAGGGTAGAGCTGCTACCTTCGTGCTTGACAAGTACTATTCCTGGCATTGTGCTAGATTGGCACCGAGGCATTTTCCCGCAGGGCGTGGCTAAGAATTGGGGCCATTCGGTTTCGGGTTTAAGGTTCAAGGTTTAGGGTTGTAGGGTTCAGGGTTGTTGAGGCTGCAACTCTCTGGCAACGGCAGCAGAATGCGACCACCAGTGCTCAAGATCCACGAATTGAATGTATCCACAGATAGCAACCGTTCTCCTTGAAATACTCAAAGTTCATGCACTCAGGCCGAGACCAGAGCTGGGCTGCAACCAGGCAGGGCCGTGTCGGTTTGAAGCTCTGCCTTGCATGTTGCACTCAGAATCAGCCCCAAATGAAGCAACATCAGTTGGCGACCATATTCACTAAAGCTGCGAGTCATTAGTGTTCTTGATGCGTACTGTCCGGTGATCCCGGAAGTTTTGTTTAGCATACCGTGTCGCTTAATGTGCACATGTACTGCAAACCTGCTGTCACGGCTCAATATTCCTCAGCTAGAAAATGCATGCATCGGCCTGGAAAAAAAAGAACAAAACCACAAGTCCTAGGAGCCTGAATCAACAAGATCCTGTGTCGGAGCAGAAGCAACACTCTGCACGTAGATCTTGACAGTGAATGCCCGTGAGAAGGCCCTATAGCCATGAAGAAAGCACAGGCACCAGGGCCACTGCCACCGCCCCCGCCCCCGCCAGAGCCAGGAGAAGTGCTAGGAGCACCAAAGGCTGCAACGTCGGCTGAGAGACGGACGGTCGCCTTCAAGCAACGAGTGGAGAGCCTGGAGCAAGTGGTTCAGAACTCCTACCAGGCGGTAGATGCTACGCTGACCGATCTCAGCAAAACGATCAAAAGTGGGCATGAGAAGATGGTCTCTCTTCTGGAACAGAAATACCACAGCGATGCCGCAGCGCTTGAGGCCAAGTTTGAGCTGAGGCTCAGAGAGAAAGAGGAGGAGCTCAAAAAGGCTTACAACAGAGAGCTGGCACAGAAGATGGACGAGAAGGACAGTAAGATCGCGTCCCTGACAAAAGCCATGGCAGAGCAAGAGAAGAAACAGGCAGCTTTTTGCAAGGCCAACGATGACCTAGCAACATGCCACAAAGCGAACATCAAGACGATCGACGACCTTCAAACAGAAAACAAAGAGCTCCAGCGGCAGAACAGAGTGGCGAAGCAGAAGCTGGAGGAGCGCCGGTATGCATGATCATGAAAGACTTAAGTCCCCAGCCGTTTCCGTGCACGCAGGCGAACGAGGTGCACTTCAAAAGGCAGGATGTCTTCATCGCGAACCTCGAGGCCACATGCAACGTGATTCATATTTGTTCAGTTCTCGTGTGCACTGAAACACAAACATTGTGTTGCAGGGGCAGATCAAAGGGATGAAAGCCCTGCCGTCAAAGCAGAGCCCGTCAGGCAGAGAGCATCAGCTGGCAGGTAGACGGTTCTAAATTACCTAGGCTGGCTTTGTTTCCGTTTAGTGTGTTCTGTTATGATGAAACCATGAATTCGAAAACGCAACAACCATGATTTCCAGGTCTGGAAGGCGAACCCCCTGCAAAAGCTCCGAAGCGATCGTGAGTGAACGGCGGGTGTTTCACAACAGCCTGTTCAAGCTAAGCAAAAAGACTTTATAATAGGCTTAGGGGCACAGGTTTGAGCGTTTTCGTTTTAGGGCTTGGTCGGCGTCTGCAATATGGGTTAGTGTGTATAATAAAGGTTTAGAGCTCAGGGCTTCGAGTTTAGGGTTTAGGGGCTTAGAGCCTGTAGGTGTTTAGAGGTTATGAAGGATATAAGAATTAAGCGACGATGTTTAAGGCAGTATAAGAGCATAGTGCAGGGGTGAGTAGTGCAGGACCACTCCACGAAGTGTCAGCATCGGTTTGCGGAAAAACAAAAGCCGGTTTGCCCCTACTAGACGTCGTGCACACTTGCATTGTCACACGCAGTTGGTGCAGCAAGCATGTCTCAGGCCGTGGCCGTACGAATGCGAAGGCTGGGCCGTGGACGTCCTGGCAAGCACTGGGTCAGATTTGCATAATTTGTTGTTAAAAGAATGTACAATTTCCTTGTGCAGCATCATCACAGTTTCTGTGCCAAAACACACATGGCAACTGATTGCAACCTGAGTTTTCATGGCAAAAACAGCCATCTACGGGCCACCGGTATCGATGCATTCATTCAGAAGTTGAAAAGAAGCCCCGGTATGACTTCGGCAGTAAGTGACCCTAAACCGTAACCTTATTCAATAACCCTACACCCGAACCCTAAACCCTCAATCCTGATCCCAAATGCTGCCCGCCTTGATGGTGTAGCTCCCCCGGTGCTTCCAGCTCTGACAGGCCTCACACTGCAGCGCAAACGAGGTTACAGCGCGATTGAGGATCTAATGTAGGGCTCCGGCTCTAGAATGTGCTGCAGCCGAGCATCTAGCAGCGCTGATACAATCAACATTCCAGCTTCATTGTTGGATATTGCTGGACATGCAAAATCCATCAAAAAAACGCAGTGATGCAACATCTCCGGATATTTGCGCTTCAGGCCTTGGACTGTTTTGTTGCTTGATTTCATTCAACAAATTGCTTCACACTTTAGGTGCAAGTTGCCATTAGTCCTGGATGCCAGGACAGTGATACATGTTGCTGATTGTTTTGTGGCTGGAGTTCAGTCGACACAGCTTCACAGCAGCAGTAGTAGCAGTAGAAGTAGCAGTAAGTGCAAGTACTCGTAGTAGTAGTAGTAGTAGTCGTAGCAGTAGTAGTAGTAGCAGTAGTAGTAGTAGTAGTAGTAGTAGTAGTAGTAGTAAGTAGTAGTAGTAGTAGTAGTAGTAGTAGTAGTAGTAGTAGTAGTAGTAGTAGTAGTAGTAGTAGTAGCAGTAGTAGTAGTAGTAGTAGTAGTAGTAGTAGTAGTAGTAGTAGTAAGTAGTAGTAGTAGTAGGCTAGTAGTAGTAGGCTAGTAGTAGGCTAGTAGTAGGCTAGTAGTACCAGTAGTGCCTACTGTTCAAACCATGGCCACTTGACCAGTGGTTAACAAGATGGACACTGCTTGACCAGTAGTGCCTACTTTTCAAACCATGGCCACTTGACCAGCGGCATGCAAGACATGAGGTGGACACACCACTTGACCAGCGGCGCCCACTGCAAACATGGCCACTTGACCAGCGGCATGCAAGAAGCAAATGGTGGACGCCGCTTGACCAGCGACGCCCACCGTGCACATGACAACCCGCCTTGCACATGCACTCTGAGGGCACCGGCCGCTGATCAGGACGGGTGATTTAAGGCTTAGGGTTTATGGGTTTAGTGATTTAAGGCCTCAGGGTCAAGGGCTTGGGGGTGGCTTGAAAAGGTGTAAAGTTCTAGGGGTCAAGGGCTTGGGGTGGCTTGACAAGGTGTAAAGTTCTAGGGTTCAGGGTATAGGTTTTGTAGGGTTAAAGGGTTTAGAAATGAAAGGGCTTAGTAAGGTTAGCAGGGTTCAAGGGTTGGTGTTTAAGGTTCAGGGCCTTGAAAGATGAAGGGTTTAGGTAGATTTAGGTTTTAGGGTTTCATGGTTTGTCTCAAAGACTTATAATAATATATATATATATATGTATATATATATACCAAACTGAGCACGAGAGGACTCCAATACACATGTACAGACATACATGCATGCATACATACACGTACACACACATGCCAGCCTCTTGGAACTCCTCGCTGCTGTTTAGTCAATGCTCCCCCGATGGCTTTGTCTCTGACAAGGTGGGGCAAGGGATGTCAAGGGCTCTAACTGGTTTCCTAGTACACAGGTGATCAAGTAGCCCCTCAACATAAGTCCTGGATTCCAGGACAAGCACAGTCCCTAATGCAAGAAACCACCAGCAAGTTATTGGATAGAACAATGACAAGTAGAACCTGACTCCCTGTGCCATTCTTTCACTCTCGGCTAACAGCCGGCAAGTCTACCCGAACAGAATTTTGTTTGTCTTTGGTTTGCCGTGCTATTTGTAGGGGGTGTTGTAACTGAAAAGCAGAACAAAACAGATTTCGATCAGGCATGTAAACCTACAAAGAAATCTTCTACCACACCTCAACAATGACAATGTGCGCCCCCCCTCACCTCCCACAGAAGACTCTCCAGTACCTGTCCAGTACCTCTCCGGAACCTCTCCCGTACCTCTACCGTTTTCCCCCGACACCTCGACCAAATCTTGTCTCTGTTGCACAGGCCCACCCAAAACTAGAAAAAATGTCACTAACCACCAGCAAGAAGTGCCCCGATTCGTGCCAGAGCTGCACACACTGCTGAAGACTACAAGCCTGGGGCAAAATCGGCAAAATGAGGGGCTGGACTCCTTGATGTTGAACAGTGAAAGCCTCCGCTTCCTGCAAAACAGACTGCCAGCGCCCAAAGCCAAATCCAAGCCCGCGAAAGAGCACCTGGGTGAACTCTGACGCGTCATGCTGTCTGCCATCAAAATGCCAGTCTCGAAGAAGGCAGCGAACCTGTAACTGCGAAGCCAGCAGAAGCTCACGAGAATCATGCACGGCCGCCTGACACAGCCCACGCAAGACCGGAAGTCCTCGAGGAGCCTGTGCATTGGGCATACAGTGAAGAAGAGCAAGAAACACCGCGTTCATGTAGCAGTAATTCTGAGGGTTTCGCAATACCACTTTCGCAACATCCAGCGGCAGCGCTGCGGCAGCAGAGTGGCCTGACGTCGCAGACATACTCGAGACCAAGCGTTCGTAGGAGCCCGACGTCGCCGGAGCGGCCGACTCTGGCAGGGAAACCTCGGTGCGGTCCTTGTCGCCGCCCGTGGAGATTGGCGCAACCTTCATGTACCTGCCAATGGGTGTACTGGCGAGCTGGAAGTGCTTGTACAGTGGCCCAGTCCTTGAGTGCTTCTCCGCAGGACCGCGCTGGATACTCGGAGCTAAATCACCATCCTGCCGAAGCTGCCGAACCGCAAGCAATTGGAACAGAGCCGGGCATTTCACGCAGTGATCGGATACCTTCTTGGCAAGGCTCCCGCAGAAACTGCATGGCGTGCTGAAGACGGCCTGAAGGCTCTTAGATTCTGAAACCACCGACCTCTGAATACGACTCCACTCTACCGGATGCGAGGCCTGCCAGTGAATCTTCATCTTGCCGGGGTCGCCCAGCAGCTGCAGGCAGAGCGCACAGCGTTGCGCAAGAGGACGCAGGGCAGGCCCCCGTGAAGAAAGCAGAGAGTTAGAAACCAGCAGTGCCGCCTCAATCTGCTCTGCCGCGGACTCATTGGAGACAGCGCCCTGAGGTGGAACCGGCGGGTCCTGTTCATCATCTACATCAAGCTGTCGAGTCATTTGCTGCACATCCATTCCCGAAGCAATCATCTCCTTGATGCGAGGGCACGTACCATTGGAAACATGCTTCGCAAGCGAGTTGAAGTCATGAAGCCTTGTACGGCAAAACCGACAATACGGCAACCCAAATAATGAGTGCAGCTGCTTGCTGAAGGGCAGTCGTGCCTGCTGATTGACGTGAGGGTGACATCGAGCAATGTGTTGATGCACTCCAGCCTGAGACGGAAAATAAACCCCGCATACTGGACACGAGTGCGTGAAAGCGTCACGACAACTGACCTGCACAATGGAGGTGTTCTGGCTGGATACTCCGAGCTCGCGTACTCCTTCCAAGAGAAACTGAGAGCGCGAAAGCTCCAGATGCTTGAGTGCTTCACTCCGGTACTCGTCTTGGGCAATGGCTGCGTGCTTGTGGCGCGTCTGCTGCTCAAAAAACCCGGCTGGATCAAGACCCCCGCGACGAAGGACCTCCGCATTGGTGATTCCCTCCTCGTAGATCCGAAGAACCTTGCGCAAGTGCATCGCAATCACGGAAGTGACGCCCCGCAGGACTTCATGGCTCAGCCCGACCAAAGCAAGTGAATACCAAAGAGAGGGCCACACTGTTGCATGATACACACGGAGACGGTGACGCCTGGAGAACGAACTCTGGGATCGCAGCACCTTCCGAAGCTCCTGGAAACGAGCATTGGCACACTGAGATCTGTGACGGAAGTTTTGGAGCTCGAAGTTCTCATACGAGAGCACCGATCCCAAATACGGCATGGTGCCGGAAACAGGAATGTAAATATCGTTGTCAGCAGTCCTGAGGCGAAGCTGTTGAGAGCCATGACGCCAGACCACCACATTCCTGCACACTCTTTGGACTGCCTTGCCCCTCAGTTTAAGCACGACCAGGCTTTTGGCAAAGTTGATCTCCATACCCAATCCAATCAGAGTTTGTATGAGCAAATGCAACTCGTCCATCGCATGTCGGAACCCCTTGACTGAATGAACATCCCAGCTACCATGTATGTCGTCAGCAAACATCATGTGTCGATCCCGAGTCCCGCCTAGCTGTGCCGTGGATTGGACCAGCCTCATGACTCGAACAGTCCAAGCAGCAAACAGGATAGGGGCAATGGGGCATCCCTGTCTTAGTCCACGAGACATGACAAAGCTGCGACAATCTCCTCCATGAAGAACTGTGCAACGCGTCTGTGCATGTATTTGAACAAGGACCCCGGCCAGGTTCTCAGGAACCTCGGACTCCCGCAGCGAAAGGTAGAGCTCCCTATGCGAGACGCTGTCGAAGGCCTTTCGCAAGTCGAGGCTAGCCATTATGCCCCCAACGAGTTGCGCGTTGGCGTGACCCAGTATCTTTGAAGTGTGATCTACATGATGTCGATCCAAAAGCGAACGGACTCTGGAGCAGTGCGCCGAAGCACGCAGCAATGCGTCTGCTGTGGAGGAGCCCGGCCTGTAGGCGTACTGGGGAAACTCCTTCATCGCAGAGATCACCAAGGGCGCAACAGCCTCTCTGAGGACAATGAGCAACGCTTTGGTATCAACCGGCGTCAGTCCTATGCTTCTTAAGTTAGAAGGGGTGCTCGGGGTTTTGCCAGCCTTTGCCAGCCACGCAAACTGAAGCGAAGACCAGTCTTTAGGGACGCTAGGGGAGGAGGAACAGAAGTGCTCAACCGCAATGGACTGAAGACGGCATGCCATGCTGTCTGAAGCCTGCTTCCAAGCAGCTACCGTGGGCTCACCATTGGGAACTGCCTTGCCAGGACGAAGGGATTTGAGAGCCCGCTTCCACTTGTCAATGGCAAAGAGTTCAGGTTCCAGCGGGAGAAGGTTGATTGCAATGCAGTCCGAGTCCGAGCGCGAGCTGAAGAGCTGCTCAGCATACTCACACAGCATTTTGCATTCATCTTTAGGATGCATGAGATTGCCGGCGGAGTCCCTAAGCCGAATCGACTTAGAAGCAGTTTTAGGAGCAAGCCAGCGCACACACTGATAGAGGCTGCGACTGTCCCCCTTTCCTGCAGCTTGCTCGGCTAGCTCCAGGATATCAAGTAATTGCTTACGCTTGCGCGCGCGTGCAAGAGCGCGCAGCTCACGATGATGCTTGTCCAACTGAAGCTTCAACCGCACTCGCGCAGAAATATCCTGGAAGCTGCGAGAGCCCAGCCCCTTCAATTGTTGACGAGCCTGCCAGTACTGAACCAATTGACCGTCAATCCCTTCAAACAGAGGTTTGCGAAAACTGTTGACAGACGGAGTACTGCTATGCGGCGCATCAGCGTACAAGCAACGGGCCTCAGCACGCCTATGTGCACTAAGCTTCCACGGGCACCAATTAAGCAGAAGAGAAGCACGCAGCGGAATATGCCCAGCCTTGCGCCAGCCGGCCAAAGGAGCCCGCCAAGGAGCACACTTCTTGGACCAACCATCAGCGAGAACATCGCGCACCATTATGTAATCAATTTGGGAGGCCCCGTTGGGATGCTGATAAGTGGGTAAACGCTTGCCCCATGTGTTCAAGGCACAGAGTTTATGCGAGCGGAGCATATCAGTGACGCTTTGTCTCTCAGCAACAACGTCAGGGAGCTTAGAATGAGGAACTAAGCCAAAGCCCGCAAAAGAACCAGCAGTATTCAGGCCCGAGTTGAAATCACCCGCAACCATCACAGAGGATCTTATGGGAAGACCACCTAAAGCCTTATCAAGTTTGTTCCAAAGCGCTTTCCGTCTCTTGAGCACCTCCTTCACAGCGTCAGAGCCAAATGGAAGTGCATGCTGTCATAGCCCATACACATCCAGGTGTTGCTTGTGCGCAAAGCATCGGACGTGGAGTAGCCGCCCTGGCTCAAGCTCTTCCCAGCGCAGCGTTCCAGACTCGCAGAAATCATGCGTACGCCAAACAGTATGCCACCCTGCTTGGGGTTCTTGGTCGGAGAATGTACGAACGTCCACTCACCATCTTGCCACTCGCTCTGATAACTGTGATGAGTCTCCTGCAGCAATAGGATCTTGATGTTAGCATTTGTAGCTAATATACGCTTGACCTCCAGAAAGAGCAGCTGAGACAGGCCACCACAATTCCACGTAAGCACTTCATACCTCGCCGGGCCCTGGCGTGCCGCCGGGGGCCTCTCATTGGAAGGACGCGTCTGAGTCCCACGAATCTGACGCCCCTTGTAGAACGCACTGCCCTGCTTCTCCGCCCGCCTCACAGCACGCCGGAGAGAGCGCTTCTTCAATCTGTTCGTCTGGAATCATTCAACTGTGAAACTGCTAGCATTGATTTCCCCCTGCTTCGCCACCTTGCGAGTGGCTCCAAGCGAGCCCGGGGGGATCGCTAACCCTCGCGCCAGAGAGATCAGTAGGAAATGGACGTTGTCTACAATCGTTGGTGACTCTCCCCCGGACTTGGGACCGGGTTGAGCCGCCGCCTCCCTTCAGATTGAATCTATACGGATCTCGAAGACATGTCAAAACAGACGAGAATCCAGGTGGCCAGGAGGCTGATAAATCGTAGGGAGAGGTCGAGAGGCCTTGCCATGTATGTATATGCATGAGCTACCAGGATTCCGGCAACCTCGTCCGAGCAGCTTCACAGGCGCTCTCCATGGACCCTCCCCTCCCCTACTGCTCGAACCGCTCATGGCGCTTACTGCTACCGCTACTGCTACTGCTACTGCTACTGCTACTACTACTACTACTACTACTACTACGACTACTACTACGACTATTACTACTACTTCTTCGGCTAAGCGTCCCTTCTGGCAGCAGCTGGTAAGCCGGCGCTGAGCGCACCCCAAGTATTTTGGGGTCTGGAGTTGTTGGCTTCGGCACTAGTCCCTGCAAGCCGGTCTGAGAAAAGCCACCCTTTGGTGGAGCAACAGGCTTCTGAAGTTTGCTGAAGTCGAGGCATCGAGCTTCGAATCCATGACGACCCGGTGGCCAGCTGATATCCCCATCCCCAGTGCTGCACAGTCAGACAGACCTGATCAGGGCTATCAAGTAGCTCTGGTGCGTGATGGACGTAGGCATCGAGGCTGCGGCAACCAGTGGTCGATTGTCATCTGAGGTCCAGCAACGGCCCCTGTGTGCAGAGTCATCCGGATCCAGCAACACTGATGTGCAGTGGCCAGTGCTCGTATGAGGACCATGGTGCTGGATAGAAACTGGTCAACCCCCGACCCCATGTGGGGATAAAAACAGATGGTGGAATGCTGATGGCCTGGCTATTCTTGACAGCCACCCCAGAGTCAAAGTTGTACCTGGCCAGTTGCGCAAAGCACAGGTTTGACGGCTGGCACGGCGCATGGGGCAGCACTTGGTTGTGCCAGTCATCGATGCAATCTTGTAGCGACGCATTCCTGTCATGGATGTGCAAGATGACCGGAGCCAACAGGCTGCCGTAATCTTCCCTCCGAGAGTCAGGCCCTGAAGGGTTCGAGATTCCCTTTCACCTTGCAGTATGGGCGGCCGCATCTTGTGAAGGACATGTTGCAGGAAGGCAGTCACATCATGCTGTGATGATGGCCGCTGCCATCCACGTAAAATGGAGGTCCACGAGGGCAGCCTGAACAAGGAGACCGAGGAGCTGTGGTGTAGCACATCGCGCCAAGCCTGCACTTTGGTGCCGAAGACCTGTGGTTCAGGCACCTTTAGGAGCTGGTGGCACCAGAGCAAAGCAAAGGCAAACGAGTTGGCATAGCAATGCTGGGAGTGATTGAGCAAACACAGACTGTGCAGGTTTGCAGCAATTTCTGCACGTCGGTCGCAAGCGAGCTCCTCTGATGCCACACAGCTGCAGCGCCGTGAGGTTCGATAGAAACTCGGGCGCTTCCCACACTTTCTCCACTCCCTGGGCTCGTAATCCCATCTCTAGCATGAATGCCGTGATGTGCTCCGCGTTGGCCTGCAAGCCGTTCGTTGCAGTGAAGCGATGAATGACGTCCTTCCGCATCACTGCTGAGACCAGCATGGCCACCTGATTGATGACATCTTGATGCGCCACCGCTGCTCGGCCCTCGTCGGGTTTGAGAGTTTGACTCTCTGCGTCCCACCGTTAGTAGAACCATTTCCCCTCGGAGTTCAGCCAGCCCTTGGTTTGCTTGCTTCTGCTGATCCTGCTGTGTGGACATCGTCTGCAAGCATGTGAGCAGCATCTGGAAGAGAGCACTGAGCAAGACAGCGCGAAGCGGGGCTTCCTGAAACTGGGTTTGGGAGGCCTCGCGGTATGTGGCTGCCGCTTTGAATAACTCCGGCATCGGCCCTGACTGGCCCGGCTTCAGGTACAGCATCCAGGCGGAGTTCTGGTTCAAGATTTGAAGTTGAGTCTCCTGCCTTATCAGCAGCTTGCCCATTGCCGTGATCAGAGGTGCCGGATCGTTCTGGGGCTGTTGGGAGCGGTTCGGTCCTCTGGGACCGGGTCTCTGTCCCCTTCCTGAATGCCCGCTGAAGGGAGCTCTCGGGCGCTTGTCCGGCTTGGAGTGTTTGGGGGGACGCTCGCTGTCGGACAGCCCCTCCTCCTTCAGAAGATTGCTGAGTCGTGCAGCTCCTGCTGCGGCCACTGGCCCAAAGATCTCCGTAATCTGCAGGTCTGTCATGTTGCTGCTCTCCATGCGGGTGAGCTGCTAGGAAGTTTATACAGAGCTGCCATAACACTGCGCATTGGGTGTTGTGGGCACGTGGCTGCACAAGCTTAGCACTGCAGAACTGGCAAGGTGAGCTGCTCTTGGGGTAGGACTGACACATGTTTTGGGAGGCCGTTCGATGCGCCTGAAACATGGGCCCATGTGTTGATGGATAGCGAAGCTTCATAGGCTTATATGTGAGGCCATCCATTGACCGTACACCATGCAATGCTGAAGGTAGGCTGCTCGTGTGGGCATGACGCCTGCGCTGCAAGTCCCGGAGCTGAGTGCCTCACGATGTAGCTGTCCAATGTGTGGTGTTGCGTACCCTTCCCGAACCACACTGCTCACACACATTGCCAAGCAACACCCGGACAGCCTCCAAGCCCATCCTTTAACCGCGCTACAGATGCACTCGGTGGCATGCCACAGTGTGCTGCGTGTGGAAAACAATTCCCTACTTGGCAGCTACTGCAGAGACATGTCGAGGGTAACTACTGTGCTGCTAAACATGCCCTTGTACCGGAAGTGCCCGCCGAGCCGATTGTGCCAGTCTCGGACAGACCAGCTCTGTTTCATGAGCCACCATGGGGGGACTTAGTCAAACTTCACCGCTCGAAAGCAATCTTCCACTCTTCCGGCGGCTGGAGGCTTTGTGCAACCTGTTTCCACCATGGGTCAGATGGGTCGCAGACAAGTTGATCAGGGCACTGTGTTAAATAGGCCTGCTTGCGGGTTGCTACTACTACTACTACTACTACTACTACTACTACTATTACTATTACTATTACTATTACTATTACTATTACTATTACTATTACTAGTACTAGTACTAGTACTATTACTATTACTATTACGATTACGATTACGATTACTAATACTATTACTATTACTATTGCTACTGCTATTATTGCTATTATTGCTATTGCTGTTATTGCTGTTACTGCTGCTACTGCTGCTATTGCTGCTATTGCTGCTATTGCTATTGCTATTAATATCTTTTGCTATCACTGTCACTTGCTACGACAAGTATTATTACGATTACTATGATTACTATATCATTACTTCCCCAAACAGTGCTTGCACTAAGGGGTTTTTACACGTTCGGAGTAACGAAATTGGTTGCGGGCCGCAACGGCGCGCACGGTGGTGGGGCGCGACCTTCCTTTCGGTGCTCCCGCTGTGGTTTCGCGCGACTTCCAGCCTCTTCTGTTTTCTGCAATGGGGGCCCGCTTAGGTTGCGGGCCGCAACGGCGCACGCGGTGGGGCGCGACTTTCGTTTTGACGCTCCCGCTGCGGTTTCGCGCGCATTCCGCTGTGGTTTCGCGCGAATTCCCTTGCGTTTCAATGCTTCCGCTGTGGTTTCGCGCGACTTCCGGCCTCTTCTGGCTTGCTCCGGCCTCTTCATGGGGGCCCGCTTAGGTTGCGGGCCGCAACGCCGCACACGGTGGGGCGCGACCTTCGTTTCGACGCTCCCGCTGTGGTTTCGCGCATTCCGCTGCGTTTTGATGCTCCCGCTGTGGTTTCGCAAAACTTCCGGCCTCTTCTGGCCTGCTCCGGCCTCTTCTGGGGGCCCGCTTAGGTTGGCAACGGCGCACACGGTGGGGCGCGACATTCGTTTCGACGCTCCGCTGTGGTTTCGCACGAATTCCGCTGCGTTTCGACGCTCCCGCTGTGGTTTCGCGCAAATATCCCTTGCGTTCCAATGCTCCCTCTGTGGTTTCGCGCGACTTCCGCAGAGGAGGCAGCCTCCTCTGCGACTCTGCGCCTCTTCTGGGGGCCCGCTTCGGTTGCGGGTCGCAACGGCGCACGCGGTGAGGCCGTCATTGGATGATCGAAAGTCAGCTATGCTGAGGCTGTACAGAAGAGGAAGAGGTTCGAGAGGAAATGAAAGGTGATTTCGTGCGCTTCCACGTACGCGCACGGCGTACTTGGCCTTGACGTGGGGGGGCCTGCGCCAACCTAAAATTGGCTACAAGCTTCCCACGGCAGCAGGTTGGCTAATGATTTCGTGCCAAGAAAAGCAGGTAGACGTTTCTTGAGATAAGCAGGAGCTGGGCTTGTCTCGAGGCCAGCTCCGGAATCTTGTAGTCACCGCAGATCCATACCTGAGATGCCGTGTCGGAGGGGTTTTCCGGCCAAAAGGCGCGGTGTGCCCCGAGGTGATGGAGTCCCCAAAGTGGGCAACTCCTGCTAGGACCTGATAGGAGCTGGTGGTTTGAGCTTCCCGATGGCCCGAGATAGGCACTTCAATCAGGCCACGCCACGTGCATGCTCCAGTGTGTTTAACCCCGTCCTGCCACCTGCAGACAATGACGGACAGAAGCTCGGGCGCCCAATCCAGGGCACGTGTAAATGACTGTGTCGCCCATAGGCGAAGACTAGTTGCTATCGATAGGGGACCTACAGAAAGCGGAAGCATGAGGGGGCTCACGCCTATGTCTGAGTCCTCGACCTGTCTGTCAGTCCTGCCCTGCCACGAGACTGGCTGTAAAGAGGCTATGGGGCGTTGCTGGAGGTGGGTCAGGAATTCTGCTACATCGTGTTGTCTGCCGTCGAGATGCCATCCTGATATGACATGTCGAAACTCAAAAGGACCAAAGAGGTTCAGCAAGCAGGCGGCCGGTTCTTCTGCAAGGTAGTTGATTATGGGCTGATAGGCCCCCATGTCATAACTTTGGAGAAAAACAGCAAAGAGGAACTGCAGCAACGAGTTGGCGTAGCAGGAGTTTGCTGTGTTCGATAACGCCCGGCAGATGGGGCGTTCCGTTCCTTGTCCAGGTCTAAGGGCCTCATAGCCGCTTGTGGGCTCAGCTGACCCTGAGCTCGTCGCTGGGTGAGGAGCTGTGCTCGTCAAGGCTGAGGCGGTGCCACCGGCTTGTTTCTGAAAAAACTGTTTTAATGTCAAACTAGGCTTGGACGACTGCGGCTTGAACGATTCTGTGGTCTCTAAAGGCTGGTTACGCAGCGCTGTTCTGGTACAGCACCGGGCACTGTTCCGGGTGTAACCTTCTGTCATAAACCTTGAACCCACAAAAATAAGGACAAGGAAGATTCTTAACCAGCTGAGGCGAGTGGCCCTGACAGAGTCGCACGGTTCTCGAGTGTATTCTGGGGGTGCGCCTGTCTGAAGTGAGACTTTACTTTGGTATGATCAAAGGTCCAAAGTCCAAAAGTCACATGTTAGGCAGCGATGCGTGAGGACTCTTGAGTCCTTTGCCCGTGCCAGAGTAGGCAGACGATGCTTGGGAAGCAGAGCTATGTCACGCCTAAGTTGCTGCAAGAGGTGCACTTCCGGGTGCGCGCCCCTCTTGTCCTCTTCCTTCAAATTCATGAGCTTGTGAGGCTCCGGGCAGGCACCGGGCAGGCACCGGACAGCAGGTGGTCACGGAGACCCTTCCATTTTCCATTGGCAAAACTTCTTGCTGCAAGCCGCGCACTGTGGCATGCCGTCCACAGCGTGGAGTTTCCTATCAAAACTGGACGGGATAAAGCGCAAAACCTTGTCAGGGTGCATACGAGAACGGTGCAGGTGCAGGCCATTGGCGGTCTCGAAAGACGCTGAGCACTCCTCACAGGTGTGCAAGGCTGTGGGGTGATCATCAGGCTCAGGCAGCTGTATCAGAGAGTGGATTTTGTCTCTAATAACTTGGAGCACTGCCAGTCGCGTAGTGATATCCGGGTCCCGGGCTGCCCTACGCTCCAGCTTGCGCAGGCGTTTTCGGAGCTTCACGAGCACGCCCTGCACCCGGTCCTGGATCTCGTATAGCTGGTACAGATCCTTTGTTTTTGTCCTGGATATATGCGCTGGTAAGTTCAAGAACGACCTTACATTGTATGCGTGCCAGCTACGAAGCTGTGGCCATAGCAAATCATAACGCCTAGGTACTTGCTTGATGCTACCCACTGGAATGCAGGAAAGGACTTGTTGGGCCCGATTCGCCATCCCTTCACCTTCTCGCCTTTCGGCGAGGTGATCCAGCAAGAGTACTTGTTTGTGACAGTCTGAGATTTTTGGCCTACTAGCTTAACTAGAATGACGCATTTGCCCTGATTGACAATGAGGCGATGCTTCCTGACCTCTGCAAGGAGCGCTGCCATCAAACGATGGATTGATATCAGGCCTTGCTCTGATCGGATTGTACGGTGCAGCGTTAGGTCATCTGCATAGCCCGTTAAGAATCTCAGAACCTGCTCGGCACCGAACAGTTCGACGGTCTCCGGTCAAGAAGGAAAAGAGCGTTGGGGCTAGCTCACAACCTTGCTTGATGCTCGCTGTGGTTTCAATGGAGGTCGAGTCTCCCTGTGCCCGTAACACATACTTAGACCTGTCGTGCAGTGCTTGGACTAGGCGGACGGTGTCCCCATCGGCTCCTTTTTTTGAAGGAGCTCGATGATTTCCTGGTGAGAGACGGTGTCAAACGCCTGACTTTAGTCTAAAGCAAAGGTTAGCCCTCCAACCAGCGACGGAGTCGGAGTTCCCTGCTGGATGGCATGTCTGGAGGGGTGGGCCTGTTCTAGAAGCGCTCGGGCTTCCCTGAGATGAGAGATCACCCTATCGAGTGCATCAGACAGACCCCGTCCTGGAAGATAGGCAAACTGTGGCATGTGCTTGAAGAAAGCTGAAGTCAGAGGCTGCAACGCTTCCCGCGCTGCTCCGGCTAAACCTTTCGAGTCTGGGCGAAGGATTCCCAGGGAACGTAGGTTAGCTGGCTTGTCTGCTGGCTTTCCTGGTTTAGGTCCGCATCGATTAAATCAGAATCCAGGCCATCCTCCACGCTTCGCGCAGCGACGTGTCTCGACAGGACTGCAGCTACAGACTTACCGCACCGCCTCCGCATTGCTGCCGGCGCGGAGCCTTCAGGAACAGCCTTACACGGCTTGCTAGAGTGGATGTGGGCCTCGAGTTTGGCCTCCTCAAGAGACGGAAGGTGTCCTGCATTGGCCTCAGTTGCGAATGGGCCGCAAACACCTGGTCCGCATACGAGCGCAGAGTTGCCAGCTCCTGCGCCGGCCCGAACAGGTGGCCAGAAGCATCTTTAAGCTGAGCTTTGCGAGCTGTGGTTGCCAGGGCTGGAGCTTCTGTAGGGACTGTAGGGTTTTAAAAGCCAGATGCTGATCGCCTGCTGCCAGGCTCTCATCGACTTCTGCCAAAAAGTCCGCTATGCGAACCTTCTGCCTGCTTGACAGCCTGCCTGTGAGCTGCCTGCACTAGTTCGGCCTCACGGGGTCTGTAGGCTCGATCGGCGGTGCTGAGGGAGCTGTGCTAGAAGAGTTTTGTATGCCAGTCTTGGACCTCCACATACGGCGGGTCACAGACTCCAAGGGTATGGTTTTCTGCTTGGGCTGCTTGGGAAAGAATCGCTCGGCGCCTTGTAGAAGCAAAGCATTCCACTCTGACGGTTTTTGACAAGACTCAATGCGAGATGCTACCCAGCTCTGAAGGTCACGGGCTCTGTCATCTCCCGCCCTGACGGATGCCTGCAGAGCCACAGAATCATACCGCTGAGTGGCCTTGCGTTGGGGTGGGAGCATCCAGTGATGCATGAGTGGGACTTCAGCCTTAAGTGGGTGATGTCCTCCCTTCTTCCAGCTACCTAGCTGGCAGGCTGTCCATGGACTGGAGCATTTGGCGCGGCTGCCTGCAGTTGATTCAATAGTATAAAGTCAATCTGCGACGCCGTGAGGCCCTTTTCGTAGGTGGCTATATGCGAGCACTGCCATGTGTTCAGAGCGACGAGTCGGAGCCTGACCACGAGATTAGTGAGGTTCGGCTCGTCAGGGCGGTCCTCCGCCGGAGGCAAGGTCCGAGGACCTATCAGCGCAGGATGAGTGCGTAAGGATGTATTGAAATCTCCTGCTACTAGCAATGAGTCCCGTTTAGGTACCTGTTTTACCAGCTTAGACAGTGCATCGCCACTTCCGCGCGGTGGAGGGAGTCATTAGACTACGGTCTTTTGATGAAAGCAGTGGATGGCGCGAATGCCGGTGCACTCGCAAAACTTTGCATCGCGTCGCAAGAATTCGTTCAAGACAGCATGTAGACGTTCAGTGCGCAGAGATGAACCTGTACCCTACCGTGGCCAGATCCTTACGCCACGCCTGATACACAAGCTAGGAGTATGCCCTCCTCCTACTAGAAGAAAGCTACAGGCACCGCCTGACGGCTCATCTGCACGTGGCACCGCCTCTCGCAGATCAGGAAAGCTAGCCAGGAATGTAAAAGTTATTTCTTGGAATGCTGGCCACTTGGGCCAGCAACAATGGGGAGAGCTCAAGACCTGGCTTGCCTCTGAGGCTTCCGATCACTGCGATATCCTGGTCCTGCAGGAAACTCACTGGGTCAGGATTGTACTGTATCTCTTCAGCCTCAGCCGCCGAAAAGAAACAGAAAGCTCGCAAAGACGGGTCAAGACGAAGATCTAGGCAGCAATTAGAGGACGGCCCGTCAACTACACGGGCAGACGGGGTCATGATACTTTTTTCACCTAAGTTTGACGCAAAGAGCATCAGATGAAAGGAGTGGAAACAGGGTAGGGTCTTGGAAGCTCGTGCCAGGTTGGATGGTGCACGCCCGGTGATTGCTGCAGTCTACCAGCATGCTTGGTCGTCCGCCAAATCGATACCGGCGAACAAGGAAGAGCCCAGGTCCTTGCGGCCCAGGAATTGGGACCTGGCGGATCAAAACGGCACCTGTTGCAATAAGGAGAGGCACATGGCTCGGGAAGGCACAAACCCTTACTGTTCGGAAAAGGAGCCTGGTCGGGACCTCTAGCACAGACGTTGCGCCCTAAGCTTGTTCGAAAGCCTCTCAACGGCGCGGCCGCTCGATGACTCGTGGCGGCTACTATTTCTATCATTACTACTACCACTACTACCACTACTACCACTCCTACCACTACCACTACTACTACTACTACTACTGCTACTACTTTACTATTAATATTACTTTTTGGGGGGGGGCACTCGGACCCCTTCGCTTACTATGGCTATGGCTAGTACTCCTACTCTTTACTTTGAAAACACCTTTAAGCTAATAATAATAATAGAAAGAGCAAGAGTAAGAGTACTAGCCATAGCAATAGTAAGAGTAATAGTAATAGTAATAGAACGAGGAATAGTAAGAGTCGGGGGCCGAGGGCACAAAGAAAAAACAAAATACGGCAAAAACAGAAGTATGTGTCCAGATATTCTCCGCCCCGTGGCTTGTCCCGGTCCCAAGCTCTCAAGGTAGGCCCCGAGGCTCTCGACTCTTCAACCGCAATCAACTGCAAGCCCAGGGGACAAGAAGAAGCCACCCACTCTCATCAAGTTCGGCGCGGAGAATCCCAAGTACGCAGAAGAGTGCAAGGAGGGCTTCCGTCGTTGTCGGTTCAGTCTGCTTCGCTCATTCTGTTGCGGAGTCGTGCACCACGATTGCAGCCCTTGTGATTGAGCTTCCAACCTGGGCTTCGGAAGCCGGCAGGAGCCATCACATCCCGGCTCTGAAGAGTTTGACCGGAACAAGATGAATGAAATTGCGGAAGGGTTGGATGACGAGAATCCATGCAAGCATCTTGGCGTCATCTGTTGAGGCTGGGATCCTGCTCTGGCGATAACGAGCCAGAACTTGAAGCCTGGAAGATTCGCATGGAATGTTAGAAAGTTCCAATTCAACACAACAATGAAAGTCACGAGAACCTGCCTTGTGGCCTGCGCACGCCCCTGTCCAGCTGTTGCAATCACATGATGGAAAGCGGCTGTTGTACCCCAAAAGACGGTGACCCCATATCGCAGTGCTTTCCGGCGTTCCGGTTCAATGAGGCACATCTACTCAGAGCCGCCTTCAGATCCAGCTTCAGCCGTGGCTGATGCCGTGGGATTGGGATCCTTGATCTCCACTAGGGCCGGGGACTACTTTCGAAGAGCGGTTTCACGCAGAGCTCAGACCGAGGGTTCACTGCAAATTCAGTCGAGTCATGGCCACCAAAATTCATTGCCAAGGATTCTGGAACGATATTGCAGGGGAGCCATCACCCCCGGGAATTACCTACAAGGACGTGATTGAGTGCCAGGGCCTTGGCTTTGGGTGATTGAAGGGCAGTTTGTTTTTTTTGGCAACTGTTCGACAAGTTCGGAGCGGCTTATCTATTGCAATGCGAGTGCCCGGAGGTGCTAGCCTCCCCCCCCTCTTCCTTCTCCTCCTCCTCCTCCTTTGTGCTTCCAGTCTGATGCAGCAGCAGCAGTGCTGCGGCTACAGCTGCTGCCTAACTGCCGCTACTGTTGCTTCTGCTGCTGCTGTTGCTCCTCCGCACTGCCCCTGTGGCGGTTGCGTGCAGTGGCGAATCTGCACTGAGTCTGGGCACTCAGGTCCTGCAAGCTCTACGAAACAAAGCCCTTGTTCTAGCTGAACCTAGCCCTGCCTTTGCAAGACAGACAGCGTAAGCTTTGGCTGCAGAGGCAGTGATGCCGACGTGGAGCGCGAGTTGGAAGAGGAAGAAGAAGAACAGGACAGATACCCCATGACCTCATCTTTTGAGTATGCTTTCCCCCAAGCCACAGTATTGAGTTTTGATCCGCTGGGACGTCGAACAGGGATGATTGCGCAAGGACAATGACGAGGGACTTGGGTTGAGGTTTGGGCTGAAGGATCTGCAGGGGTTTGGTTGTAGGGCTCAGGTCTGTTGTGAGGATGGATCAAGTGTCCCGAGGTGTGGAGCCTAGCTGTGCAAAAGGGAGCTTCGGGCGTGGAGGCGGGTGGAGGAAGCGGCATCTGACTTCCTGGTCCAGAAAGGAGTTGGAGTTCAAGCAGCGCATGATAGACTCATCCAGTATTGTACACAGCTTCGGCTACCAGCTATGGAGACATGTCGCACTCCGAACCCATCCACTGTGCATCAGGACTTCTACCACAAGGACTCCTGGATGCCAACAGTCAAGACATTCGGCTTGAGTTAGAGCTCCGTTTTCTTGCAATCTCGGGCTTCAGCTGCTGTGAAGTGGGTGCTGGACATCATTCAACTTGCCATCGTGACGGAGGTCAACCATGGAAAGCGTGGCAGCAGCGCTACCCAACGCAGAGACTGCCCCCCTTGGTCTTGGTGTGGAGTTGAAACCTGGAGACATCATGGAGGAAGCAGGCCGCTAATTAGGGTTTCAATGCTCCACTTGTACAAACCAAGGCGTGTGTGGGCTCCAGATCTTAATTGGAGGCTTACAGGGCGGCGCAGAGTCCATCAAAAATGATATCGCCATATAAGTTAACAAGGCCTTTAGTGCTCGCGTCAGCTGGCTTGTCGCTTTATCATTCAGATCAATGTTGTGAAACGGGCCGGATCTGTTGCATGTCAGGGCTGATCCTTGGACGGTAGGCATGTGATTGGGTGTCACATTGAATCTAAGGGAAGGTTTTGTAAAGTTCTTTCGGTGGCAAGAAGGAGCAGTTCAGCCGTCCAGGCGAGCTCGCGATGACCGTGAAGGAGATGGCGAACGAAGCGAAGGAGAAATTGGCCCAGCTTACCGGTGCGGAACAGGAGGCCGGATGGGGGTGCCAACCTTAAGCATGACGGACTGTTTGGTTTCGCCGTTGCGTTTTTGTCTTGTGCACACTTCTTGAAGCAACGTACGGGTCATCGCCATGGAGGAGCATTGACTACCAACTCTAGTAGTAGACTTGGAATCTTCACAGTGTCGCACCTGAGCAGCCGTTTTTCAAGCAGATCGCAGGCGGCAGCCTGCGACCCGCTTCAGCTCGGCTTCGCACGGAGTTTCTGCGATCTGCACTGCATCAGAGACGCCGTGAGGCCGCGGCCCCAGCGACTGCATAGGAGCCTGCAGGAGGGGTGCAATGCGAGTTCTGCGGCCCTCTGGGCCCCAAGACTCTGAGGCGACGGCATAGGTGGCATAGGGCACAGGGCTGCAAAGTAGACAAAAACGAAGCTTCAATGAGCTTTGGTTGTGTGAAACAGGGCTGATGGATTTTGGTCATGGGTGTGTTGACATCTTGGTTTCTGGTTCAGGGCTGGGGGCAGACTGAAGCTTCCGGTTAGTTCAGGCTGTAGAGCCTGCGTGCGAGACAAACCTTTTGACGATTTTTCTCCTAGCTCCTGTCTCCGTCACTGCGCTCGTGTCGAATATGGCTTCGTCACTTCGTCAGCTTAGCCAGCCGTGTTGAGTGGTGCGGAGACATTGCTCCCTCTTGAATCCCGAAAAGCTTTCTCGGCCTACCGCGTTACACCGTGGTTCATGCACTGCATCGCATCGTCGCTGCGACCGTGCTGTTGTAGGAAAGGCGATGATGCCATTCTACGAGCCCTCGAGCATGCGGTGTCCATCGTGGGACAGAACACGCCGCTTCAGATTTGTTAGAATGTTTTGGGCAGACAGGAGGTAAAGGCACTCCAGATGCTACCTTTGAGACCTTGGCCTAGCATCCCTCGCAGCCGAGGCAGCTGCTTCTGGAGCACTATGCGGCTTTGGCCGTTTCTGTGATGGTTGCTCCTAGCTGGCGGTCCTCCTTTGGACATCTCATCTCCAACGATCTCTTGCTTTTTTTGTTGGAGCATCGGGGTTGTCTTACGTCCTGTTGACCCCAACCTGGGTACTGCAAAACCAGAAGCTACCTGCTCTGAAATTTCAGTTCCTGGATTGCAGCGCGTCCTGATAGGACCGGCATCGGTTTGAAGACTCCTTGCAGTGTCCCCGACCTAGCCATCTCTAGGCTTCAATGCGAGCAAGGTGGGGCATCTCAGCGACACCGACTCCTCAGAGTCCTTGCTCCAAGAAGGGCACAGGATCCAGCGGCGAATCCACGGGAGCATGCTCGAGATGAAAAGCATGGCCCTCGAGGCCGCTCCTGGTCTGCTCCCAGCTTAAGCTCTGCCAGTTGTAGAAGGACGTGTGTGTCAAAGGGAAGGAGTCCTTTTAGCCGGGGGTATGGCTACTGGGTAGGTGTCAAGGCAAGGTATGCGCAGCTCATCACCACAAGGGTGTGACAGCACGTGCTGCACCTCGGGATTTTCTTCTTGCTGGTCCGGCTTAGATCCAGTGAGGAGGTTGGGAATGGGCTTCTTTCGTGACTTGAAGAGCACAGCGGTTCAAAAGTGGCAGAGGCTAGAGGTTCTACTAGCAAGTCGGTGTTTCGGACATCATGATTTTGATTCATATCGTTCAGCTTCATAGCCCTGCACTGCATTCCAAGATGACATGTGCGTTGTGTCCAAGAAGGAATCTTTTCGCAATCTTGGTCGTGGTTGCCATTGCCCAAGAAAAGTCTTTACAGTGTGAGTGAGCCTCTCCGAAGGCGCCCAACGTGGGCGCTCCAACTGCCGTTAAAGCTGGAAGCCCGCACAGGCGAAAAGGCAAGATATGAAACAAAAGTTCTGCTACCCAAGCAAGCCCACCTGCACCCCACTCGCTTGACTCTCGGGCCAATCCAGCACGCCGCGAGCTAAGAGCCAGCAGAATGGAGACGATGACAAAGCCCTCCGGCTCAAAAAGTGGTCCCTCAGTTCGCCTGGGTCCCAAATCTGGCCAGGAGGCGCTTCCAGCTTTAACGAAGAATCCGACACGCACGTAAGACAAACACAGGCCCTGCCACGGATGCGAGACAACGTTATGGCTTGGCAAACGGGAGTGTGGAAAATAGCTTCTCCCAGATTGTTTCGATGATGCATTTGCAAGCGGAGCACGAAAATTTGCGCCTGCAGACATCGTAGGTGCAACATGTACGGTTTTCACGGTGTGAGCAGCCCCAGCATTTCGTGAGACTGTGCTTGTCGTCCGACAATATGAGCATTCTTTGTTTCCGTTCGGCACGCTTTAAAGCCGCAGCCACGACCCAGGGCCCTAAAGTCCTGAAGCCTCAGACGTCAACCTTAAGCTGTAAACCCTGACCCGAGCCTTTCTTGCAACTGGGTAGGGCTTTGGGCCATTTTATATTTGCCCTTATTGGGCTTAAGAGGATCTTAGTTACTAATATTTCAAAGGCTTTCAAAGCCCCACCTCGTGGAATCCTGGACCAGGCGGGTCTTGAGACGGCGGCCTCTCAGGCAGCGCAGCGCTCCATCCAAAGCTTCACGACCCGATGGCAGACACTGCCAGGATGTGGCTTGATAGGGAGAGTCAGAGTTGCTTAAGGGTGGTTCGTGGCTCAGAGAAGAGGGCACGCAATTGGGGATTGGGGACTATAGGGGACTATTCGATCTAATACCCGCCCTGGACACCCTGATTACACGGTGAAAGCTGCAACGATTTGTGTGAAACTTGGAAATGCCCCCGTGCGACTGTCATGCTACCATGTTCCAGCCTTGTGGCTAACTTTAGTGCGCAAGCAGTGTCGGTAATGATGGTATCGATTCGACGCCATGGCCAGGCTCGCATGGAGTAGGATTCACCCTTCACTGGGGCGGCGCAGATCCTTCTCAAGGGATCGCAATTCTTAAGGTTCGAACGGATTCCTCCCCTGCATCCATGCCAGTCTCCGCCATGGCGCCGAAAACCACATGACTTGAAACATGAGACGTTGAGCCACGGGCTTCTGTTCCCGCACACCAAAGTGCTATGCACGGCGCTGTTTTCTCAGGAAGAACACGGGTTCACTCATGAGGGGCTAGATGGGTTCTTGATCACATCGTTTGCAGTTTCTGTATACACATTTCGGAATGTATCATGAAGTGCCGTATGCGTTGAAGGTCGAGGATTCTGTTCGCTGCCAGCGTCATTTCGATGCAAGCCACATCAGTGAGGTGCTGCTAGCTCGTGGCCAGTTGCGACAGGTTGACTTATTACGCTGCTAGTCTTGTTGGCTTCACTGGGATTGGCTGTCATCAAGAGGAGTTCAACGTTTCGTGACATCACATCTGCGTGGACCTTACAGAACGTCCACAACTTAACATTCGGGAAGTCTTGGGGTGAATACTTTGGCCTTCCTGTCCAGCGCCATTAATCTGTGTGCCAGTAACCCCTTCTCAGACTTCGAACAGGAGCAAACGCAACCGGAGCGAACCCGTTGCTGAAGCAGATGGAGGACGAGGTGTCCTGGTGCTCTTGCTTAGTATCTTCTTCTTCTTCTTCTTCACAGTTGTCTTCTTCGTCTTCCTGTTATTCCTCGTCTTGGTAGTGGTGGTGCTGCTTTGGCACTGTCGGGCAGCTGTTGCTGTTGTTCCTGCTGTTTGTGTTGTTGTGATCGTCGGCGTGGCCCTCGCCGTCGTCCTCGCCGGCATCGTCGTGGTTGAAGTCGTGGCTGTGGTGGTGGTCGTGCTCGTGGTCGTCGTCGTGGTTGTGGTTGTTGTTGCTGCTTTGCCGCTGGTGTTGTTGCTGTTGTTGCTGCTGCTGCTGCTGATGCCGTGGCGGTGGCGGGCACTGGTGGTGGCGGTGGCTTGGGGTTGCGGTTGCCGTTGCGATTGATGCGGCTGCTGCTGTTGCTGTTGGTGTTGTTGTTGATGATGTTAATTTTGCTGCTGTTTGTGTTATTTTTCTTGGTCTTGGTGTCGGTCTTGCTTTTTTCCTCTTGTCGTTGTTGGTGATAGTGGTGGCAGTGGTGGTGTTAGTACAGACAAAAACAGCAGCCCGTTTTGTCTTCTGAGTCAAGATGCTTGTAGTGGTTGTAGGAAGTTGTACGCAAAGACAAAGTTGGAATACGCGTCAAACTGTTGCCGAGGTGTTTCAACGCTTTTGTTGTCCAATTTTCAGTAGGCAGAGCCCAAGAGCGGACGCAGATTGCATGAACAGGTTTGCACATATTTACGTAGCGCAAGAATGTTTGCGTCGGAAGGTGTCAGGTTCGCCAGCTGTGGTGTAGCTCGCACGTCTGCAAAGGTCAATGACCTCCACAACCAAGTTTCGCTGCTCAGCACTAAAAAGTTATCCCGCGCAGAAGAAGTACGCCAGACGGCCTTGCGAACGGCTGCCTACACCAACAAGCTCTTCATGAGGAAGGCAAAGGTGCTAGGCGTTTATCGGCAAACTGCTGCGGCCAAGAAGATGGAACAAAGGGTGTTGATGGACAGCATTGGAGAGCTCTCGTCGAAGTCTTCGACGGAGCGTGAAAGCCTGCGCAACGCTCAGAAAGCCTTGCGGTTCTTCGACAGCACATGGTGGACAGTTCGCCGGCATCTTGACGACTACCTGCAGGCCGGGCTGCTGTCAGAACCGTAGTAGCCACTTTTTGTGCTGTCGAACAGGCAGCACCAAAACGAGAGTCGCTGGTACGATCAGTCGGGCAATAGGAGCAACATGCCAGGGTGAGGAGCCTGCACAAACGAATCTGCGGCAAGGGATGGGTGTGTGTGTGTGTGTGACTTGAAGTCTGGTTTTTTCAGACTGGCAAACTGTCTCATGCAGGCTCCATCCCCTGCATAGCTCGTGCATTGGAAGAAAGAGTTCTTTGGCCTCAGACGTAAGGCAATCAGACAGCGCATGTGGCAATGTCCAAAAAGTAGTGGTCTCCGAATGTATAGTAACTGGTCGCAGGAATCCCAACGAGCGCGACCCGCGACCCCCGTTGCCCAAACAGCAGACTTAAATCCAGTGTCAGGCTTCCCAGGAGCACGTGAAGGCTACCCGCGCGGCCAGCGATATGCTCCAGAGCTACACAACCTCGTGCCGCGCTGGGTTCAGGCAGATAGAAGGGCATGGTACAAGGTCATAAGCTTCCAGTTCTTGCGTTCTGCTGGTTTGCGGACATGTTTTGTGAACAGACCTCTCCCCGTCCATATGTGCAATTGCAGGATGGTGTAGCTTGATTCTTGACCCGACAAGCTTGAGCTCCGCCGCTTTTGGAGGCAGTTGAAGGATTCCTACGCCAACTTCGCCCGTGCTCGCAAGTCGGCGGCTTGCCCAGCGGGGTGCTGCATGTTTTCCCGCTATTCTCTGCTCGAGGTTGGGAACGGTCATTCTCTAACTTTCTCGGTTTCCAGTGCGTGCAGGAACATCATACTGGATTCCAGCCGTTGGTCCTTGCGTGTAAACTTCGACTATGATTTTTGAACTGAGTCTGGGAGATGTTGCAACTGTGTGGGATGAGGTTCAACTTTGCTTGCTTGATTGTATGTACTGTCACGGAGCCATATTGCTGGCAGTTTGAAAGTGTTCAGTAAAGCTCTTCTAGAAGACGGCTAGACACCGTCGTTTATAAGATCACTCTTCAAACCTTTCAATTTGTTTCGTTCGACCTCCAAGCGCTAATGCGGGGATGCTTCAAAGCGGCTGATTGAGCAAAGCCCAAACACGTTTTGAAGACGCATCCTTCTATCAGCATATCGTTTGATAGACCTCAGCAGCTCATTGACACTCATCACTACATGGGAAGCTTCAGTTCAGAATCCTTGACTCGATTTATCCCGGCTTGGTTTGAACATGGCCGCTCAGGCACACACAGCACTTCAGCAGACTTGGGCCTCAGTGGTCATGGACTTCGGGAATCTTGCCGCGCAGGTTCGTGACGGAGCTCTCTTGCAGGACTCGTTGTACGGTTCCAGCATGACACTCGATCGTTCAGCGGCCTGAGGGTGCAGCGATCTGCAGTAAGTTTAGTCGTGACCCTCATGTCTGCGCACAGCGCGGCCACAAATACTGCAAGAAGTAGGATTCCTTAACCTACCTAGCTTAGAGTGCCAGCCTCGAAGCTCGTGCGATTGGTGGTGACATCCTGTGCAAGGGAAGCTGCCGCAGCCCCACCAACGGAAAATGTAGTGACTGTCGCGGGTCACAGGAAAGCAGGGATTTCTGATGCCTCCGGCGAGTCCTCACCTCTTTCCCAGGACCTCCTCTTGCATGATCTCCAGTCAGTGCGTGCCCACGTGATCCAGAATCTCACAGGCCCTGTGCGATAGTGTCAAGGGTGGGACCAGCAAGCAGGTCCAGATGCAAGCTTCTACTCCGCCGCCAAAGCACCGCACCCCAAAGTTTAGTAGGCTTTTCTGACGCCTGAGCAGCAATCGTCCAAACTTCAGTTGGTTTCACCATCTGACCTCAGACCACATGCCTTGCCTGGATTGTCCGAGTGTGAGCATCGAAATCTTAAACTTTGGCGTGAGACCAAGCTGACCAAGACGATCTTCTCGTGGGGGCATGTTGTATGCTCGAAGGCAGTACCCGTGATACGTTCTGCCGGAGCGATGCCATGGCATTATCCTCGCTTCTTGGCTTCCGCCTATCGCACTCTTACATAGACGGGAGCTGCTTTGCTTTCTGGATTTTCGGCGCTACATGTCCAGGCACGGACAGTTTATTTGCGATATTTAGGTCCAATGCCCCGATTTTTTGGCACCGTCCTGCAAAAGGTCGGACAACCGCACTGATCATGAGCTTCGCGCTCGTAGCAAAAAGAAGACAGCCTCAGTGGCAAATCAAACATGCCTCGAGGACTTCGTACTTCTCCACACAGATGTACAGCCTTTAATACGGCTCCCAGGCATGCACTCCACACTGGACTCTGCACCACGACGTGTTTTCCTCCGATCTCAACCGACAGCTCGCAGAAGTATCCATCGCGAGAGTACTTCTCGCATTGGTGAGATGGACGCAGATGCGCCTGAACTACGCTAGCTGTTCTGTACAACGCTTCAGAAGTCTGCCAGAGGGGGAGGCAGAGAGCGAGAGAGAGAGTGAAAAATTCAACAGTACAAATTTATCCAAGCGGGATACCAAGATCAATCACTTGCCCCAATCACACAGATGCAGACATTCCTTTGTGCAGTCAAGCCTTGATCCAGTCTTGAGCCAATGCCATTCGGCATCGTAGCATTCTCCAATGCATCAGGAACATTCGGGTGTACATTGGGCTCGTGTCATTTAACACAGTCCCTTCATCTTGACTTCAGTCGAAGATCATTCCAGAAGCAAACAAACGAGCATTGGTGGTGGCCTTCGCGAAGCGATCAAAAGGAACAGTCACCAATCAAAGCAGCGAAGGATCATTGGTCTCATTCCGGACTTTTGGCTCGACACGGGATGACATTCGAGTCGTGGGAAAACGGCATTCGGAGGCCGGGTTGCACTGTACAAATGATCATTGCAGACAGTCGGCTGATGCTACATTCGATTGAATCCAAGAACTTCATTCTCAGAAAGCCTCTTAATACATCCATTCAACATGTCAAAAGGAACTTCACATTTCGCAAAACAATCGCACTCACATTGGCACCCCTACATTATGCGGCTGCTCAGTGCATTCACTTCACAGTGCCCTTCGCATTCTTGCGCAGGACAATCTCGGAGCCGGGCTCCTGAGCATTCCAGGCAATGCTCTCCTTCACTTCTTCGTCATTCCCATAGAGCTCCTCCCAGGTGGAACAGTCCTGTTCCAGGACGGCATTCACACACTGCGTCAGAAGAATCATCGTGTGTCCCATCAATCGCCATTCCACCAGGTTGTGTCCTCGGTGGGTAACGAACATTCCCCACTCGCTGATCTCATTCAAGGACAGCAGCAGTTTGGGGCTGCGCACGCACATTGGATCAGTCATTGGGACACGGACAATCCCAGCACTCGTGTGGGACAGTGGCTCCATTGTCCACTTCCAGTCGTCAGGACCATTGCCATCCCACTCAACGGTGCTGATGTGGTCAGTGAAGAGGCGATTAAAGTAATTCGCCAGTTTCACTCGAGCATTGGCATTCGGTCCGCCAGCAACCCATCTTCTCATTGCGGCAGTCTTAGTCTTGGTGCGACGAAACACCACGAAGGCAGTCGGCTCATCATGCTCACTCTCCTCGAAGACGCCTTGATTTGCCCATTGCACAGTCTTCCTCGGTGCGCTGAGGGCATTGTAGCTGCCATTCCGCTGGTGGCAAGGCAACTTTGCCAAAACCAGTATGCCATTGGTGTACAATCCCATTGCCAACGACAGTGGAAGGCACAGCCAATCGTAGACATTCACCAAGGCATTCTCCTTGGCATAGTGAGGAGCTCGCCATTCCACATGCCAGTTCCTTTTTGTAAGGAACAGTCGCTCGGCTTTCGTCATCTGCGTCCAGCTCGTCTCAATCATCCACTGAGGGAGTGCATTCTCATTTTCAGCGAGCTCATTAGACCATTCGAACGCTGGCCCGGGTGGTGGAAACGACAAGCAGACGTTCCTCCACTCCTCGTGCCAGGCAGGAGGACACTGACCATTGGGAACAGTTGATCGTCCCATTCTCTCTTATAGAGAGCCTCGGCCAGATTCACTTGGGCACGAAGCATTCGATCGGTGAGATCACTCCCCCTCTCAGCCACTCTCTGGCGATCATTCTCCACCACAGTGGTGATGAAAGCATCAAGCTCACTCCACACTCTGGTGAGCTCAACTCCGCAGTCCATCGCAGTCAAGGCGGCGGACACTTCCGCATTCACAGGGCCATGCCTGCTCAATCGATGCGGCACCAGCACTTCATTCATCAAGTGCCGGGCTTCCCAAGGAACCGCATTCAATGCTTCATTCGCTCCACTCGGAGCTGGAGCCTCCGGCACCGAATCATTCGGCTCATTTGCTGCAGTCGGAGGGGCAGTCTCCTCTGTGCCATTCCTCACATGGATGCCGAGGGCGGCATCCATCGCTGCAGGCCCACTCGTGGGAACAGTCGCCGGGTCCGCAGTCGAGCGGATCACTGGCAGTCCCTGTGCCAGTCGCTGCAAATCCGGGCGATCATCCGGAACATTCCCTGCGAGGTGCAGTGCAAGCAGGTTGCTTTGCACTCCAGTCTGCCTCACTTCCGCTTCAGTGAGGTCACTCAGAGCGGCGACATCAATCACCAGTTGCTCGGCAGTGATGTCCTCATACACATGCTCCGGCAGTGATTCTATTCTCACTCGCTCAAAGGCTCCGCTCTTTGGCATTGCAGTCGTGGGCTTAGGGGCCATTGCTGCTACAGTCGGGCGAGCGAGGGAAGCAATCTACACGACAGGCAGTCGACGTCACTAAGGAACATTCAGCAAAACATTTCGGGGGAAACACATTGACCTCAGTCTGCAACACACGGACCTAAAGCAGTCCCTGCAACATGTTTTGTTTTCTTTCCAGTGCCAAAGCGGGTTGCCATTGATTTACCCGCAGTGCTGTCGGTATGCGCAATCACATTCACCTTCTTGGCTAGCTTTGATTCTAACAGCGTTGATCGGACAAACAGTGCTTCAGACACTCCTTGACCAATCGCATACAATTCAGCTTCACCAGATGACAGTGCCAGTGTTCCTTGCGTTCTGGCAGTGCTCACAACTTTGCAACCAAGGACATTTACAGTGGAACCGCTAGTGCTCTTCCGCGTCTTAGAGCATCCAGCCCAGTCGGAATCCACATAGACATTGATGTCCACTGCACAATTGCCATCCGCCAGTTGATACGACGGTCTCAGTCTCAGCACACCATTTTCGTGCCAATCAATTATCGCAACCGGTGTTTGCATTCGCAACACTTTGCATTGTCGGTGCAGTCACATCCCGACTCAACTCTTTCGTCGCGTAAGCAATATCACCTCGAACCAGTGCTAGCCACAACAGTTTGCCAACGGCAGTCCTATACACTTTGTGCTCTTCAGGACTCAGTGGCGTGTCTGGAACAGTCTTGTTGATGGTCACCGTTCCAGTCGTTGCCACAGGCTTGGCATTCTGCATTCCATACAGATCAAGAATCGTATCAATGTACTTCTGTGGCATGCATACATCAGTCGAGTCACCATTGTGTCGCAGTCGTCGTCCTGCGGTGACGTTTTTTAAATATATGGGGGCCCGGCCAGCAGCACTGGCCGCAGAGGTAGTATGAAATATTTGTTTAAATCCGTATATTTAAATCCCAGTATGACGTAGCCTTCAGTCTTAAAAAGGTGAAGGTTGGAATGCTGGAGGGTTGAAGGCTGGAAGGGGTTTAGGGCTTGAGGGGTTGAAGGCTGGAAGGCTGGAGACTGCAAGGGCTGGAGGGGTTGAAGGCTGGAGTGCTCCAGCCTTCCAACCTTTCCTTCCAGCCCTCCAGCCCTCCAGCCTTCCAGCCTGCAGCCTTCCTCCAGCCCCAGCCCAGCCTTCCAACCCTTCCAGCCTTCCAGCCTTCGGATGGAAAACTGGAAGGCTGGAAACTGGAAGGTTTGCAGGCTGGAGCTGGAGGGCTGGGCTGGGGCTTGGGGCTGGTGGAGGCTGGAGGGAGGGTTGGGCTGGGAAGGCTGGGCTGGAGGAAGGCTGGAAGGCTTGAGGAAGGCTGGAGGCTGGCTCGGTTTGGCTTGAACCTAAAGCTGAAAGGTTTGGCTTCTACCTGAACCTTAAACCCTAAACCCCAAAATCCTAAACCCCAAACCCACCAATCATCTGCCAATCTCCGGATATTTTATTTCGAGGCGGGCCCGGGCGATGTTTCACGGAGGTAGTGTAATAAACCTGTTTAACCTATTTAAATATCCGTGTATTTAAAAACAGACACCGTAGGAAAGTGTGCTCACTTCCTGGCACCAGCTGGCCAGTCTCTTTCAGCAACACTTCCTCAGAGAGTTGAGACATGAACGATTTCCTCATTTCGTCAGCCCTACAACCAACAGACCATCGACGTATGCAAGCACATACAATCGACCAGATTCATGACAGTAGAGGTTGGGATCACTCTTGCATCTCCGAAATCCCAATCGGGTCGTCATTACTTCAGCGAAGTGTTCCTGCCACAATTTCGGCGCCTGTCGAAGTCCATACATTGCCTTCTTCAATCGCCAAAGGCGATTCGCATTGGGGTAGAATTCCTTCGGTGGCCAGATGAACACCTCTTCATTCATCAAAGCACGCAAGAAAGCAGTGCTCACATCACCAATTGTGATGCCCCAGTTTCTTGCCATTGCCATGCAGAGAAGCAATCGCATTGTGACCAGTGAAGGTGTGGATGCAAACAGGTTGTCCTCTTCACTCTTCTCGACTTTCTGGAAACAACCTCTCACAACCACTCGACACCTCAATTCCTCTTCACTCTTCCAGACCTTGACCCGACGACAGTCAAGAGCACCATCAATCTGGTCCTGGGTACAGTCGTCAACCTTCACTTCATCATACACCTCAAATCTCTTCATGGAATCCATTTCCTTCATCATTCCTCTCCTTTCTGCCTCAGGCGGAAACTCACTTTCCCACAGCAGTGGTTCGGAGAGTCGCATTTCTTGGTCGAGTTCGCCTTCCTCGGCATTCACATCAACCTCAATCTTTGTTCCATCCTTTCCGACAACTTCATCGACTCCAACAATCGACACAAGCCACTTACAAGCAGGGATCACTCCAGCAATCATGTGATGCACTGCAGAGATTCTCATTTGCTTCATTGACGGCTCAGAAGCAGGTGCATCTGGATCAATCCTTGCACTCTTCCAAGGCGATTCTCGAGTCGCCTCAGGTGCCTCATGACCCATTTCCGCAGAAGCCCTGTCATTGCCATCTTGAGGCATTGGATCCTGCTCAGTGACACTTTCACTCTGTACAGGCGCCATGTCTTCAAGCTCTACATATCCTTCAACTTCTTCCTCAACACGCTCCTGTCCAGGAGGAGGCCTCACTCGGCCTTTCACTCCAAGATCCGGTGGCATTACAAACGCAGTCGACTCAACGCCATCTCCACGAGGCTGCCAGGGAGTTGAAATCATTTTATGACATACGGTGCATTCCATTGTTGAGAAGGAGATCTTCTCTTCACAGTCCTAACCTTGAAGACACCATTGGCATTCCCAAGAACAACTTCTTCGGGCTCAGTGTCCTTACCAAGGCACACTCCGCTGAACCATTGAGATCCAGCCTTGGGAACACGCACTCTTCCACTCACAGGTACCTTTGCGTCAATCAACTCACCAAAGATGCACAGTGAGCCATTGTATTCTCGATTCCAGCGGCGGCTGTAGGCAGTCTTGCCGTCAGCTCCAATCATGTACCGATTAATCAGCCATTGCGCATGCTTCACACTCCACGTGAACAGTGGTAATTCGGAGCTCACCTTCACTCCAGTGGATTCCTCCACTTGGGAAAGCAGTGTTCGCAGTTGGCCATATAGCGTCCGTTGGGCATTGCCAACCTTTCCTTGGCTCTGAGCGTGCCCAGTCTGGGCAGCCCTCATGGACATTCCTCCAGCAACCTTGAAGCCAGTTTAGCAGCCATTGATTCAAGACGGTGCGCTTCGGAAGGTCATTGTCAGTGGACATAAACGAGAAATCAATCTGGATCACAGGTTGGCGGTCTTTTTTTTTGGCTGCATGACTCTGTCTTCCTTCCGACCTCACGCAGTGCTCGCACCAGTCCCTATAAGGGAGATGAGTCACTTCGTGCAACGCCGTTCATTCTCTGAGGGTTCTCCGGGAACCTTCAGCATTTTCGGCTTCAATGCACTCCGATCCTCAATCTCCTGCCGGCACTCTCACCAGCAGTAGGGCGATCCAGTGGCACAAACAACGTATATCCAGTCCACTTGTGTCCAGTGGGACTTCGTGGATCCTCACATTTCTTCACTGATCCATCAGGCAGCTCGATGTTTGCCCATTCATGTTGATGTCCAGTATCAATCATTGTGGAATCACTCGAGTCAAAGAACATTGTGTACCTATCACCCCACAAGTGATCACTCAACAGTCCATCAACGGGCGATTTGGCATCATCCGGATGGAAGTAGCAATCACGCACTTCATGATGCATTCTTATCGAATATCGAGGGAGTATGATCCATCTATCTGCAGTCCTTCGTGCTGCAGTCTCAGGATCCTCGAGATTGAACAGTTGCAACAACAACAGCAACTCCTTCATTTTCTCACCATGTTGAGGCAGTGACCGCAACGAATTCTCAAGCTCATGCTCCTCAACATTCCGACTCACGCGCACTTTGCGATCCAGTTCCTTTGGTTCTTCACCAGTCTTGGCTCGGACCTTTGGAGCATTGTCTGCACTCTGCTCCATTTCGGCAAGGTCAGCATTCGCCGGTGGAGGCATTCTGCCAACCATTGGATCATAAGGACGTGGCGCACTCTTTTGCGCATGCTTGCGCTGGAGTTTATGCGTCAGTCCAAATTCCGCCAATCCTTTTCATCACGCGGCCTCGTATTCGTCATTGTCAAGAAATTGGCATCTCTGACAGTGACAGTCGAACCATGTCGGTACATCTTGTGCGTCACTCTTTCGCCAGTCACGCGAAGCGCAGGTACCGGCATTCGATTTGCCAGTCTGATCCGAGGGTCCAACATTTCATTCCGCCAGACTTTCACATGACGAATCAACTTCAGCTCAATTCATTCACCTCCCAGGTGTCCTGTCTTCCACCTTCGGAAGATCTCATTCCTTGAGCTGAAGCAATCAAGGCACCAATCTGACAAAGGTGGTCAACCGAACAGTCATGCACGTCCGACACTCCACGCAACTCGAAGGCACCAAGATCTTTCTTCATTCCCGACATCGCCAGTCTTGCCGCATTTGCAACACTGTAGGGAATCACAGTCGGCGTCAAATACACCAGTGTCACTTGTCGCACAATCGGCACAGGATTGCCAGTCGGGTCAATCAACGCCATGTAGTCTTTCGCCATTACAGTCCAGAAGTCTTGCAACAACAGTCGCGCCACACTAACTAACCAGTGGAAATGGTATGCCAGTGCACACGTAGAATTGCACACTCAGCGAGTGACCATTACCACAGTCAAGCTGCACAATCTTCCTGCCTTGCACATCCAATGTCCTGCCAGACAAGCTCCGCAGTGAGGGTGCCCTCTGATTCAAAGGCAGCGTCGGATAATCCGGTGCAAACCATTCCGGACAACAATTCGCACAAGCTCCACTGTCGAACAGTATCCACGACTTGTCGACCAGTCCAGCTTGCATGTGAAACTCAATCAAGCTGTCGTCGAAACCAACCGGATCATTCTCAAGCAACTTCCTCAAGCTTGGCACATTCTGGTTCGGCATTGGAGGCACTCCGGAACTCAATGCACCAATCAGCAAGCACGCTCCAACGAACAAGTTCGTCATCAGTCCAGGTTTCGTACCCCGGACAGTCTTAGCAGATCTGGGCGCACTTTGTTCCGATGAGCCAACAGTCACAGCTGACACATTCTGTGGTGGTTCATTCTTGGCGGGGTCCTGAGGGACATTCGAACCTGAGCTCGCGGCACCACTCGAGCTCTGCAGCTGTGTCTCAGGAGAACTCCACCATTCCTGAGTGTTCCAGGACCAGTCCTCAGGCCAAGAACTCCATTCGTCCTCGAACCAAGTCACCGGACCAATCATCGACAGAACCAATCCACTCACCATTCCAATCCTGTTCTTCCCAAGACCAGTCATCATTCGACCCGTCATCCGGACTCCACTGATTCCAGTCATCGTTCCATTCTGTTCCATTTCCTTGTTCATCTTCCGTCAGTGCGGACATTTTCCTTTTCCCTTAGGGCATTCTCTACTCCAGTGGCTCGTGTCGCCACACAGGAAGCATCCTTGACCTTCTCCTTTTCCTTTCATTCCTTTTCCTTTACCTTTTCCTTTTCCTTTGCTCTTTCCTTTTCCCTTGTATCCTTTGAACATTCCTTTGCCCTTGTATCCTTTTCCTTTCCTTTGGTACATTCCTTTTCCTCCTTTGTAACCTTGCCTTTCATTCCTTTCTTTCCTTTCAGTGTCCTATATCCATGTCGGCTTGACCTCCGTGATCAGTCCTACCACTCGGGACAGTCAGGT